GGAATGCATATCACACTTTTACAAAATGAGCTAAACATGCAGCATATCAAATAGACCCTTGGCAGACTTCAGTTCAGGTTTTGCTGCCAAAACACATTCAAAAACTTTAACTAAACTGCTGCATTTCCAACCATGCATCAACGTTCAACATGTTCTCTATTTCTACAGTGCAGCTTGATGTGTTTGAGCTGCTGAATTTGGTGTATTTTGCTGATATGTTTAGGTGTGATTAAGACTTGTAATTGAAAAGCTCTGTACATGTATTAGTTGGATGTTTAAGTTTAAATTCAAATATGCAAAATATCCCTACAAAAGTTGGTGTAACAGTGGATATTTTGGGGTGTCTTCTTGTATAGATTCAAAGCTTAATGAAATATTAGTAGGAACCTTCTCTTTGTTTCAGTTTCTAGCTCTCTTTCTTTTCCTTAGAATTCTCTAGCCAAAACACCTACAAATGGTATCAGAGCTGGCTTAAAAACCTAAAAAACTCTTCCTCACACGATCAATCTTTACCTTGTCTCCAAGAACTCCATTTTGTCTCCAAGAACTCCCATGTTTCAGACTTATGGCAGTGTGTAGAAAAGAATAGGCAACCATCACAGTTGGGACCAAATCTAACTCTAAATCAGATCAGAATTTTGAAGAAGAAGTTGCTAAGGCTTTGAGAGCCTTGTCCCATATTCATGCTGCTGTAATAGACCTTGTATTCATAAGGATAATGGCATGTGAAACTGCAAAGGAGGCGTGGCACAAGTTGAGAGAGGAATTCATGGGAAGTGACATAATAGGGAATATGCAAGTGCTGAACTTAAGAAGGGAGTTTGAGATGTTGAGGATGCAAGAATCAAAGAAGGTGAAGGAGTATGTTGACAGGCTGATGAGTGTAGTCAACAAAATCAGGTTGCTTGGAGTGGAGTTGACAGATAGGAGAGTTGTGAAGAAGGTTTTGATGAGCCTGCTCGAAAGGTTTGAGTCTAAAATTTCTTCTCTTGAGGACTCAAAGGACATGTCTCAAATTACACTTACTGAGTTAGTCCATGCCTTGCAAGCTCAAAAGCAAAGAAGACTCTTGAGGCAAGAAGACACAAGTGAGGCCTATACAAGGAAATAATAAGGGATATACTGGAGATAAAAAGGGGAAGGAAAGAAGTAATGGTCGGAGGGGAAAACCAGGTGGGATGAAGGAGTATCCACCTTGCTCTCACCACAAAAAGAAAGGGCATTCCGAGAAGAGGTGCTAATTTAGGCCAAGGATACAATGCAGGGGTTGCAAGCAGTTTGGGCACATAGAAAAGGTCTGTAAGAACAAGGGAAGTCAGCCACCACAAGAAGCATAAGTTAGACCGCAAAGTTAGAAGGCTAAACAGCTTTTTAAGGCCTATTGCTATGCATCTCATATCAGCAATGAAGCTTGGCTAATTGACAGTGGCTGCACCAATCACATGGCTGCTAACCTGCAAAAATTCATCAATATAAACAAGTCATATAACTCCAGAGTTAAGATAGGGAATGGTGACTTTGTGGAGGTCAAAGGCATAGGAGATGTTGATGTCCAAACACAATCAGGTACTAAAATCATCCCTAATGTCTTGTATATACCTAAAATCAGTCAAAATCTTCTTATTGTTGGACAAATGTTAGAGAAGGATTATTCTTTACATTTTCAAAATCAGTCTTGTGTTATATTAGATAATGAGGGAGATGAGTTGATGAATTTGAAGATGTTGGGAAAGAGCTTCCCGATTGAGTGGAAAAAATCAGAAACTCTTGCACTAACCAGTAGGCTAGAAGAGTCTGAGCTTTGGCACAAAAGGCTTGACCATTTCCACTATAATGGCCTCAAAGAACTTAGAAGCAAGAATATGGTCCATGACCTGCCTAAGATTGAAGAAAAGAAGAGCCTTTGTAAGGTTTGCCAACTTGGTAACCTCAGTAGGCCACCTTTCTAGAGAGCAAGTGAAAAACTCCAATTGATCCACACTGATGTATACGACCCTATGCAAGCTGAATCATTGAGTGGAAGCAAGTATTTTGTGTTGTTTATTGATGATCTCACACGAATGACTTCGGTGTACTTCCTAAAGCAAAAGAATGAAGTTACTGTAGGGTTTAAGAGTTTTAAGCTGCTAGTGGAGAATCAAACAGGGCTAAGTATCAAGGTTATAAGAAGTGACAATGGAACCGAATACACATCAAATGAGATTGATTCAATTTGCAAAGAAGCAGGGATCAAGCATCAATTTACTACTCCATATACTCCACAACAAAATGGAGTTAGTGTAACCCCCGTACCGCTTTGTGCTCATGTATGTTGTATATAGTTATGCATTGCTATGACTTTTGCATGTGTTCTCTCTCTCTTTTTTTTTTTTTATGTTGGACAAATGAAAAGATTTTGTTGGTTGGTTGTGATTTTCTAATTTGAGTCGAAAAAGAGAAATCTAGTCAAATTGGTGCGATTGGTTTGACTGATTGATAAATGGAAGTGTTTTGGTTAACTCGAAGTGTGAAATGGTTTGTGTATAATGATTACTCTCGACTTGTTTTGCACTTGTGAAAGTGTAGAAAATATTCAATCACTTGAGTTATAAAATTTACGTTTGATGTATTGTGTGATAATTGGTGGAAAGGGACGACTTTTCCATGTTGGTAATTTGAGTTGAGTGAAATGTTGCTGGGAATGGGTGAAAAAGGGGGTGAACTGCAAGTTTTTAGAATTTTTTTGGGTTCAAGTGAAAAGATTTAATACATTGGGACTATACTAAAATTTTGCAGATTTTGGTGCCGCAGCACAATATAAGAAATTTTTCACCGGGACATTCTACATTCTGGAATTTGGACTAAATTGTGAGTTTTGAAAGTTTCTTTGTTATCTTGGGGGCGTAAGTAAAAATATTCAATCTTTTGGGACCGCATAAAATACAGCGATAATATAGGGGTCCTTTTGTGATAAAAATACTGTTGTGTTGGGGGCTTTTGAAATAGCACAAAAATTTAGGGGGAAAATTAATATTTGCCACTCAGCCGACTTATATTCTAGTTTAGTCTATTGGAGAGAAGAAAAGAATAAGAGAAAAAAAAGAAAAAGGGGAAGAAGGGTGGTTTTGACCCCGTTTTCATTTGGGAACCGATTTTTGGGCGTGCTTGATCCATGGGTAAGCTTTTAATTGGGTAAAATTTTATTCTTTTTCCTTCATTTTCCCTAAGTTTATTGTTTAAGCTAATTTCTTCAAAGAATTGGTTCAAATAGGAGGAGGAGAACCAAGTTTTTTGAGGGCTTTCGTTATTTGGGACAAGCTTCACGGGTGTGAGTGGAAAATCTAAAACCCTAACTTTTATTTTTAGCAAAATATAATATAAATGGTTTACTCTAGCATTAATGTTTTAATTGCTTAAATCCTTTGATTTTTGTTATGGAAATGTGTTTAATGCAAGATTATCCTTTAGATTTGAGAATTGATATGAGAATGATTGAATTTTTGAAGTCTCTTGGGCAAGAATTGTTGATAATACAAAAATTGGCAAAAATTGTTATTAAGACTTGTATTTTTAGCCTCCTATTGTATCTTGTGAATTAATATTATGTTATATGTTTCTTTTTGAATGAAGATATGAGATCTATGGAAAGATGTAAATTGAAAACATGTAAATTGATAATAGTAGTTTCAAACCATCATATATAGTACCCATCCCCCTCATAATATTGATTGGATCCTACGCATGCGCATGGTTGGTTATTTTGCCAGCTCAAGTGGGTTGAAGGCCTGAGTGAGGCAGTTATCGCTACATTGGATTGATTTTGTTGGCCCAAGTGGGTTGAAGGCCTGAGTGAGGCAGATATCGCTACATTGGATTGTTTTGCCAACCCAAGTGGGTCGAAGGCCTGAGCAAGGCAGATATCCCTATATTGGATTGTTTTGCCGGCCCAAGTGGGTCGAAGGCCTGCGAGGCAGATATCGCTACACAGGATATGATTGTGTTGGCCCGAGTGAAGCTTGGTCTCATTCGGTCAAAGGCTTGAGCGGTGACCGATTCCGCCTAGCAGGATGGATTTAGTGGTTCAACCCGTGCGATGTTAGATCTTGTCGAGTTTGACAGATTTACTCTTGGGTACTAGTTGGGTGAGAGTCTTCACATGTGATTGAGAGATGGTTTGGATATATATGTATATGTATATCATTTATTTGAAAATGGGAACTTATAAATATAAATGTTATCGGTATATGAACTGTTTCTTAGAAATGATATTTGTAGAGAAACATGAGTATTGATTCGTTTACCATAATAGTGTTCAGAAAGAAGTCTTGCCATGAGAGATTTCAACATGTGTTATGAAAGGTGACTTATATTATAAAATGTGTTTATGGAAATGCACTTGTATAAGCATGAGTGTTTTTATTGTATATTGAAATGTTCTATTCACCTACTACCTATTCCCCACTCACTGAGCATTTCTAGCTCACCCCTCGTTTTTCAAATGTTTTCTTCCCCCACCAGGTCAAGAAGGAGATCGTGCAGAGGAGTGACTCCCACTCAAGGTTAGGCCACACGACTTTATTTATCATATGTTTCATAGCTGTGTTTTATTTTCTGCTGCAAAGTTTATGTTTCTTTATCATGTATTTATTTACATTTTTTATTATAAAAGATATGGAAAAATCTGATACCAACGTTCATTTTGTAAAGGAAAATCAGCTGTATTTTGGTTATTTGCAAATGATGTTATATATATATATATATATATATATATATATATATATATATAAATATATATATATATATATATATAAGTTTGTTGTGGTAAACAAAAAGGAGTGTTTATAAATGTTTTAGCTAAAAGAGTTTTATGATGTTTTAATTCATAAACAGGTTTTCATAGTTTTCCCATATAGCACGTCTCGGTCTCCTGAGTCTCATGGGTGCGCCCAGAGCCTATGGGATAGGGAGGGTCGGGACGGGTCGTGTCAGTTAGTGAAAGGAAGAATAGGACACTTATGAAGATGGCAAGGTGTATGATTGTAGAGAAAAAGTTGTCAAAGATGTTTTGGGCTGAAGTTGTCAACACAGGGGTCTATATTCTCAATAGACTCCTAACCAAGGCTATCAAGAATCAGACTCCATTTGAAGCCTGGAGTGGGGTCAAACCTGTAGTGAGTAATCTCAAGGTGTTTAGGAGCATTTGCTATGCGATGGTTCCAGCAGACAAGAGGACCAAGTTGGATGAAAAAAGTAGAAGTATGAATCTTTATAAGGTACAACAGTCAATCCAAGGGCTATAGGGTGTACATTCTGGACTCCAAGAGAATTGTGATTATAAGAGATGTAAGGGTTGATGAGAGAGCAATCTGGAAATAGGAAGATAAGAAGATTGATGAAGAATTCATACCACAACAGCCAACTGAAGACCTGACTGATAAGGCAGAAACTGAAGAGGATGAAGAGTTCTTGGTTAGAGGGACTAGAACTTTGGCTGATGTGTATGCAAGGAGCAATATGGTTGTGCTTGAACCAGGGAACGACACTGAAGCTGCAAGATCAGAGGCTCGGAGAAATGCAATGCAAGAGGAGCTATCAATGATAGAAAAGAATAACACCTGGGAACTTGTTGATAGACCTAGAAATAGAAAAGTGATCCGAGTGAAGTGGATTTTCAAGAAGAAACTTAATCCTGATGGATCAGTCCACAAATACAAGGCAAGGCTAATGGTTAAGGGGTTTGCACAGCAACAAGGGGTGGATTTTTCAGACACTTTTGCTTCGGAGGCCAGGCATGACACTATCAGGTTACTCCTTGCATTAGCAGTCCAATTTGGCTAGAAAATTTTCTAGCTTGATGTTAAGTTAGCATTCCTAAATGGTTGGCTGAGTGAGGAGATAATTGTGGAGCAACCTGAAGGCTATAAAGTCAATGGTAAAGAAGAAAAAGCGTATCTACTAAATAAGGCTTTATATGGCCTGAAGCAAGCTCCTAGAGTCTAGTACAACCAGATAAATGACTATTTATACAGCTTAGGATACACTAGGAGTCCTAATGAGCATACACTCTATGTTAGGTAGGCTGAGGTGACTTGATTATAGTCTCTTTGTATGTAGATGATCTGCTGATTACAGGGAGCAATTTTGAGCAACTAAATCAGTTTAAAAAGTCCATGCAAAGTGAATTTGATATGACTGATTTAGGAGATTCCTTGGTATGGAGATAGATCAGTCTAGTGATGGGATTTTTGTGTGCCAAGAAAGGTATGCAAATGAAGTTCTTAAGAAGTTTGGCATGGAGAATTGCAAACCAGTGGACACTATATTGGTTCCCAATATGAAGTTAAGCAAAGATGATAGTGCAATGAGAGTGGATGAGGGGTTATTTAGAAGCTTAATTGGATGCTTGTTATACTTGACAGCTACATGACCTGACCTCATGTTTGCGTCCAGTTATCTTTCTAGGTTCATGAGCAATCAGAGTGAGTTGCATTTGAGGGCAGCTAAGAAGGTATTGAGGTATGTGAAAGGGAACACCATGTTTGGTATTTGGTTTAAAAAATCAGAGAACCTGGAGTTGCTAGGGTATACTAATAGTGATAGGGGTGGATCTCTTGATGACATGAAGAGCACCTCTGGTTATGTGTTTTACATAAATTTAGGTACAATTTGTTGGCTGTCAAAGAAACAAGAGACTGTGGCTCAGTCTACAGTAGAAGCAGAGTATATATCTACTGCTGTAACTGTGAACCAAGCCATATGGCTTAAAAAAATTCTTATTGACTTGAAGCAAAACCAAGGAAGTCCAACTTTGATCTTGTGTGACAACCAATCTGCAGTTGCCATGGCCAAAAACCCTATACTTCACGACAGAACCAAGCACATTAACACAAAGTTTCATGTTGTGAGGGAAGCTCAATATAATGGTGAAGTTAGTTTAATTCATTGTAGGGGTGAAAATCAAAATGCTGATATTATGACCAAAGCATTGTCCAAAGCCAAGTTTGAAGATCTTAGCTCAAACTCGGTGTTTCCAACAAAAATATCAAGGAAGAGTGTTGATGCAGTGATATTTTGCTGGAAATGCATCAGAATTTCAGTTAGAAGTTTGAAAAGTTTTTGGCACCAAATGTTCTCTGTTTCTGTAGTATAGCCTTGCATATTTGAGCTGCTGAATTTGGTGTATTTTGCTGCTATGTTTAGGTGTGATTAAGACTTGTAATTGAAAGGCTTTGTACATGTATTAGTTGGATTTTTAAGTTTAAATTCAAATCTGTAAAGTATCCCTGCAAAAGTTGGTGTAACAGGGAATATTTTGGGGTGTCTTGTTGTATAAATTCAAAGCTTAATGAAATATTAGTAGGAACCTTCTCTTTGTTTCAGTTTCTCTCTTTCTTTCCCTTAGAATTCTCCGGCCAAAATACCTACAATCAGTTTTCCAAAAAAGTCTTTTTTCTTTATGTTTTCAAGTTCTTCATATGGTATCAGAGCTTTTGACTGACATCAATGACAGATCCAAAAACACCCCACACTTCAACTTTCAATACAAAAGGAAAGACAATGAATTCACTCTTATACTCAACACTTAACAACACATTAGCTACTATTATAGTGAAACTAGGCAAGAAAAACTATGCCTACTATAAGTCACAAGTGTTTCCAGCCTTCAAAGTGTAAGAATTAGAAGGTTTCGTATCAGGTGAAAAGCTTTGTCCTCCTACTTTTATTCTTTTTGTAACTGATGAACTGAAGAAGATAGTAAATCCAGAGTACTGTGGAAAAAGATAGATCAGTTTTTGTTCAGTTAACTAATGTCATCCATTTCAGAAACAATGTTTAGGCATGTAGCAAATTGTGAAACAACGTATGAAATATGGTACACTTTAGAGATGCATTTTCTAACAGAGTCTAACGCTAGGATTTTGAATCTAAGGAATCAATTATAGACCACTGGGAAAGACAATTCCAGTATAAATAACTATGTGCTGAAATGAAAGAAATTGATGGATCTTTAACCACAAGCTATGTGACTATGACTGATGAGGAATTGTTATTATACTTAGTTGATGGACTTGGATCGGAATGTGATGCAGTGGTAGCAACGTTAACCTCTATAAGTAATGAAGTGTCATTGCAAGATGCACAATTCTTGCTGCATAAACATGAAATTAATGAGGTAGGAGAAACAACACTCAGCCTACATAGGCTTTCCTGAAGCTATTGCTTTCATAGCAAATAAATAGTCTATCAATTCATAGCCACAACCTACCATGTTAGAAGCCAACACCTCAAAACAACAACCAAATCAATTTTCACAGTCTTTCTCTCAAAATCATAATGAACCTAAAAATTCCTATTAGTTTGCCCCAAATTTCCAGTCTTATAATCCTAATTTTGGTAGAAGTAAAGGAAGAGGCAAAAACTTTTACAAACCATGACTTTTTTGTTAGTTGTGTAGGAAGAGTGGCCATCTGGCTCTTCAATGTTACCATCATTTTGATACCTCTTTTCAAGGAAATCAGAATCACAGACCTTGTTTTGGTTTTGAGTATAATCTATCACCATATATAGCCTACACAGACCATGGCTCCTGCACAAGCCTATTTTGCCAACACTCAACCTGGATATTCCAACTACTACTCAACTCAACCTTTCACAAACTCATTTTCAATGTTGTATCATCAAATGAACTCTCAAAATGTTTTACCTACAAATCACTCATCTTCTCAGATCAATCTATCACAATAGTATTCTAGAAGTTCAAGGGAAAATCAGCTGAAACAATACGCTGGAGCTAAACAGTCCAATCCAACAGTAACACCTCTAATAGTATCAGATCCCAATTGGTTTATTGATTTAGGTGCCACTCATCACATAACACTTGATCTATAGAATGTCTCTCTCAAGAACCAATTCATTGGATTAGAATTTTTGCAAGTTGGAAATGGCCAATGTCTTGATATCTCCCATGCAAGTTTGACTACTCTCCCCTCCTTTTGTGTTGATAGGTCATTACAACTAAAAAATATTATATGTGTTCCACAAGTGACTAAAAATCTTCTTAGTATATCTAAAATAACAAGAGACGACAACGTATTAGTTGAATTTTCTACTGACGGATGTGTTATAAGGACAAGGCTTCGCAGGTGGTTCTTCTTAAAGGTTTCATGCATAATGGCTTATATCAACTTGATATTCCCACTAGAAATGGTGTAAGTTAGCAAGATGTGTCTCTCTCCCAAATACTCTGTCTTTTCTGTCAAAAGCTTCAACTACTTCTACAGAACTTCTTCAACAACTGGCGTCTGCTCTTAGTTGTTTGACAAATTCATCTAGCCGTTTAGTTTCAAGTAATATGTTTGATGTAATGGAAAATAAATTTTAGTCTTTAGCATCTGATAGTGAAGGTGATCTTTGGCATAGGAGACTTGGTCACCCTCATTCATTTGTCTTAAAGCATCTTGTAACAACACTGAGGGGCCGTTTGGATTAGGGGTATATAAGATAGTAGGGGGTAATCTTCATTTATTTTGCAAGATTCCTATGTTTGGTTTGCAAATAATAAAATATTACTTTAATATAGAGGGTAATCTCGTTACTTTGTTAGAGGGTGTTATTAAAACATCTCTAGGCTAATCTGATTTTTCTACCCATTTTTCCTTTAATTAAAAACCATTTCGGACACAATTGCCCTCCAATGTGTACCAAATAACAATTACCCAACCCCATACATTTGAGAAATTAGCAAAAACATCACAGCCACAAAAAAGTTTAAAAGTTATTAAAATACCCTCAGCCACCCAAGACCACCGCTAACAATGACTCACCACCGTTGGCCGCTGACATTAGTTGCCTTAATGGTGCACAACCGACAAGATCTGGCTGATAGTGTGTCGGTAAGGAATTTTTCGGCCAAATTTGGAGTTTTTATGGCCGTTTCATGGCCACATATTTGGCCGTGAAATGGCCAAATCTTTAGCTGTGAAATGTCATAGGCAAAGATCTGGCCTTTTCATGGCCAGATCTGACGTTTCTATTGTAAATATATAATAACTCTAACAGATACAACCAGCTCATAGTCGCTTTTATCACTAGTTTCAAGAAGTTTATTTCAATAATACCTGTTTCATCAACCTTTTCCATTCTATTAAAGACTTCTTTCACTTCAGCTTGTGCTCTTTCCATCACTCTTGGATTCTTTATCAATTTAGAAATTGTCCACTCCAATACTGTCGAAGATGTCTCGATGCCAGCACCAAACATGTCTTGGAAAAAGGAGTTACATGATACTGAGTTTAACCACTAAAACACTAATTAAAAACAAGAACAGTGATTAAGTTATGCATTTGACTCCAAGGGGTAAAAGTACTTACAAGGATTACTACTTTGATGTTTTTGTTAATTAATGGAAATTGTATATCGCTTTCCTCTTGAAGTTTCAAGAGTACATCAACTAGATATTTATCTCCTTCGATCTTGTTAGACTTCTTGCATTCGTTGATAATTTTTTCAACTACTCTATCAGATTCTTCATGCAGCTTCTACAAATAACGATTCATTCCACTGATGGATTCGAGCAATTAATTGGAAGGAAATAGATCTGCAATATTAAACCCGCCTAGTGCCTTTATGGTATCCTTGACAGCAGATATGAATAATTCTTGGTCAGCTTCACGCACTTTACCAAAGGTTGCCCTGGAAGTCACAACATATGTCAATTCTGTTGGATTACAAGCTAGAGAATACAAAGAAAGAAATGCACGAAAAAAGTTCTTATTTTTCATTAATTCAAACATTGATTATATATAACCTAGACACATCATTGATTGTGCCTTTTAACATGCCTATTTTGCAGAACATTAAATGTTATCCCTAGGTTACAGACAAATTTAACATGCTAAGCCACCTTTACACGTTGCCAAGTTATTGAGCCAGACACTCCTAACTAGTTTGACATCTGGCAGTCTTATCCATACTAACAGCTGAACCCTACAAGGAAATTGGCTGCCCTCTAACATTCAACAATGATGGCTCTGACCTTCCTTTTGATAGTCACTGCATGCTTCTGATCACAAGCTTGTTAGGTCACTTGGACACTTTCCTGTATTGCTCGCAGGTCACACTACAACAAAAATGGCCTACGGTAACACTGGACTATACTACTTTTCCTTAAAGTGTTACGGTAGACTATCTATGGTAACACTTGATGTTAAAATGTTACGATAAAATTTTTTATTTATAACACTTTAACTTTTTATAACACATTTTATATCAGTGGTAACTTTTTTTTTTTTAAATGTTACTAATACATATCTACAATAGGAATTTTAAAGTGTTACAATAGACCTAATAATATAGTAGCCTTTTTATAATATTACTATATAATAAAAATACGATAACATTTTATAAGTGTTACTATAAACCCAATTATTTACTGGGAAACAAAATATTATTCCCGCCAACATGAAATGGGGTTTATTTTGTCTCATTTTTTTTGTTTAGGGGTCAAAAAATTATTTGGGATTTACTTTGTCACTTTTCATTCTTGTAAGAACCAAACAAATGCTTTACATATACCCAAATATAACCGGGAAAATACACTGAATACCACCACTTTTCATTAAGGCAAACGCAAAAGTTTCCCACCCGTTTTTTATATTAAGACAAAAGTTTCCACCCATTTTTTCATTAAGGCAAAGGCAAAAATTTCCAAAGGTTTCTACAATAAAATAAAATAAAAAATCTTTAAACTTGTCATTCTCTCTACCCTAAACTTTTCATTCTCTTCGATTCTTCGTTCTCACCCGATTTTACAAGTTTGTTTTTGTTCATTCTTTTGTGCATATTAGTTACGTGATGAATTTGAATAAAACATGGGGTCATGGCTGGCTGATGTGTTGGGCTCCTTTGAACTGGTCGCATGGTAGTCTTGGATTCAGAGTGTGGCTGATGTGGTTGGGGTGCTACTGGGTTGTGGTTGTGAGGGCTACTTGGGGTAGTGGTGTGTGTGTTGGTTTAAGGGGATTTACTGGTTTATGAATGAGATTTTTCCATTGACTCTTGTTATGTGGCAAGAGTGGGCTCGAGACGAAGCTTCTATTTCAACTGGGTATGTTTTAGCTTTTGCAATTTGTGTTCTTGTTATTGATTTCATGATCAAATTTTGATCGCTTAGGGTTTATGGTCACCGAGAGAAAGTATAAAGAGAAAAATTAAATGAATTCATTTGAAAGGATGAAGTGTTTATTGTTTGGGGTTTAAATGGTGAAAAAGATGTTGAATTAAAGTTTAAGGGACTTTATCTACTGAACCTTAGCTCAAATGTTCGCTTAATTGAGTAAAAGAAATGACATTTTGGGCTTTCTTTCTTTCTATTCTGTTTTTTCGTGTGTTGCAACTAGGAGTGATGGTTGACTTGGGAGGTTATCTTTCGATAATTTGTTGTTTTCTAATCTTTTGTTTGTTTATAGATTCTAAGTTCCCTCTTGTCATTGCTTTAATGGACAGCCTACTTGCCCTTGTGCAAAACTCATTTCTCTTAGTATAAGCATATTTGTTTCTCTAATGTTGAAAATCAGTAAGTGTACCTCCTGATTACAGTTACCCCCAAAGCAAAAAAATAAAAGGGTGGTCAGTTGAATTTTAAGATTTTGATTTTTTCTTTTTCTACATGACTGATGCTAAAGCTTTGGACATACTTTAGTATTTTATCGCTCTGTATAGCTAAAGGTAGTTTCTTGCTGATTCTATGCTTCAACTTTGCAGAACTGAGGCATTTCTGGGGATTGAGAAGATTTATGAAAAAGGAGTTTCTGATTATCTGGTAGGTTCTTGTTATGATTTTGGATTTTGAATTACTTTATGCATTGATTTATGGATTAAAACATAGAAATCATAAGAATTCTCACTTGTGGTATTTTTAGTTATTTTCCTAAAAATAATTTTTGATAAAAATAAAAAGTTCAGCTTGGCGGATCTATGACTTTTGACTGGCTGAATTATTCCAATAAGCAATTACTAATGACAAAATGGCTCATTAGTTTCATTTGTATGGTAGAGATGTTTGTAGGCCTTGCAATTCAGAATGGATATCAATATTCTTACATTCGTGATAGTGTTTTATGACACATGGTTCCTGTTGGATGCATCATCAAATGCTTCCACCAAATTGTGAGTAGGATAAACTTTTTCAAACATCTTCGGAATGGAAATCTATTTCTTGAAGTGGCAATACATTTTGGAAGTTTCAATTGCGAGTTGTCATCTTTTTCCCTACTTTTAGTGGCAAATTAAGTTCTTTCTACTTCCAGTCAGATTTTGCATATATGTGGAATCAGGGGATAAAAATATTAATTCCTTTCTTTGGAGTTCCTTTAACTAAGTAGTTCTTTAAAATTGAATGACTAGAACTTGTTCTGATGCAGTCTGTCTCACTTTGGTGTGACTACTTGAGATTTGGGCAAGAATGTGATCCATCTATACGTGAATTTTCACCTGATGGTATTGCAAAGGCAAGAAATCTATTCGAGCATGCTATAACTGCTACTGGTTTGCATGTTGCTGAAGGTAGTAAAATATGGGAAGCATACAGGGAATTTGTGCGAACCATTCTCCTTACCATAGATGAGACCAACATTAAGGTGAGAATTTATAATATATATATTAGAAACTTAATAGAAAAAGTGCCTGAAGGGAATGGAGTCTATTAATCAATTTACTTTATTATTAAAGACCAACATTTTTAATGCATAGTTATTCTTCGTCCACATTTTGGTATGTGTTTTACCCAATGTGGTTTCTATGTTTCACTTTCTTCTTAGGATTTACTTTTCTATTACTAACATTATATATTTATGCACAGGGAATGTTGTGGGCCTCTTTGCTGGCATGAATTACTCATCCAAGCGTGCTTTAGTAGACTACACAGTTAAGAAATTGTGTTTGCCTATATTCAGGCTGTACATCAGAATAGGTAGGTGACCTGGAAACCCTTTTTTTTTTTTTTTTTTTTTTTTTTTTTTTTTTTTTTTTTTCAGGTTTGTATTCTATAATTTATTACCATTTGCTGGTGCATTCAGATTTTCTGAATTTGATTGCCATTTGTATGAAATAGTTCCATTTATTGTGCAAGCTTCTTTGGTCAGATCGTTATATCTGAAAGGCATCCCCGTTTTTGGATTTACTCTTTTTGACAATATTATTATGTATTTTTTTTTTCTTGACGTTGTAAGTGGGGTTCATCCACTTTTCTTGCCACAATAATCCTTATGTTTCCTTATATGGTTTTAACTTTAGTCGTCTTGCACTATGTAGTGAAGTAACCATGGTTTCCAAAGATGGAAAAGCTTTTTACTTTATACTCTTTCATTGGTTAGGAATGATTTTGTGATACCTTATTCTTTAGAATTAAAATTTGATGAGCCTCTAAACCTGGGGTTTGATAAATGAGGCTTTGCTAGTGGAGAAACTTGATTAACTTTGTAATTTTTACCATTGTTTGTGCCAATCAATGCGTCTTCCTTTTGCCGGTACAGAAACTTCATGGACGGAAGGAAAGAGTACTTAAGCATATGTTTCTGAAGGAATGGGGAAATTACAGGACTGGGAAATGGTCATGAAATTTCAAAGAAAGAATGGTTCACCGTTTAATTCGCCATCCACAACAGCTGCTGCTGTTTCTCACCTTCAGGACGCCAGTTGTCTTCATTATCTCCGCTCAGTCTTAGAGAAGTTTGGAGATGCAGGTTCTTTTATCCATTTGAGTGTTTATAATATGCTATGTATTTACTTAAACTCTCGAATACTAAATTATTGACTTATAGTTAACACTTTCAGTTCCAACAGTTTATCCTTTCGACTTTTATGCTCGTCTTTTTATGGTTGAGAGTCTTGAAAGTTTGGGAATTGATCAACATTTCAAGAACGAAATCAGAAGAGTATTGGATGAAACATATCGGTAATTTTTGATTGGTTTCGGATCACCAGTTGTGCATTTCAAACTTTGTTAAGACAGTTGGATATAATATCTTAGCAAATTGTAAGTTTTTCACTATTTAAAAAAAGTGCCATTACCCAACAAACAGATGCTGGCTGCAGGGAGAGGAAGAGATACTTTTAGATCCTGCTACTTGTGCAATGGCATTCCGGCTGTTACGTGTTAATGGTTATAATGTCTCTTCAGGTATTTTGTTTTTAGAAAGATTGGATTTAATGATTATTTTGGGAGAGTCAATCTCTAGTTAGTTTTAGTCATGGTTGTATTCATCTTATTTGTCTAATAGGATATTTTACAAATGAGATTCAATAGTATATATGCATGATCCTTACAAATTAATATTAGAATGTCCCGACTAGAGAATTATTCTATTTAAGAGAGTCAATTGATAAGTTTTACTCCATGATCTTGTGGTACAGATCCATTAACTAAATTCTCCGAAGAAGATCAGTTCTTCAGGTCACTTGGAGGATATTTGAACGACCTTAGTGCTGTCCTGGAGTTATATAAAGCATCACAGATTATGATACATCCAGATGAATTAATTCTCGAGAAACAAAATTTATGGACTCGTCGTTTTCTAGGACAAAAATTATCTAGTGGTTCAGTTCATTCAGATAGACTTGGTAAACATGTCAGCAAACAGGTTAGTTTTCTAGATCGATGAAGCAGTTTTTGTTAGTCCCAACGTCATACCTGCCAAATGACCATCTTTTATTCACTTTTTCAGGTGGAATATGCGCTTAAGTTTCCCTACCATTTACAATTGGATCGTGTAGCACACAGGAGAAGTATGGAGAACTACTCTGTTGATGGTACAAGGATTTTAAAAACTTCATATCGGTATGCATCGATTAGTTCAGTTTATTCCTAATTATTTTAAGGAATTAGCATTGCTGACATTTTTTTCTTTATCTCTTCTGCCAGCTCTTTGAATATTGGCAACAAATACTTCCAAAAACTAGCAGTTGATGAAATTAACATCTGCCAATTAATATACCGTGAAGAACTTGAACATCTTGAGAGGTGTATTGGTTGTTCTATGTATTCTGTTTGAGCAGAAGCTGACCTACTAAAATGAATTATCCTTTTTTTTTCTAGGTATTTGAAATCATCTGAAGTAGAAGTTATTGTCATATAATTAATTCCCTCATATTAAGCAGGTGGGTTGTTGAGAATAGATTGGACAGGCTAAAATTTGCGAGGCAGAAGATGCCCTATTCTTTCTTCTGCGGGGCAGCTACTCTCTTCTCTCCTGAATTATCCGATGCCCGCATATCATGGGCCAAAAATATTGTGCTTACATTTGTTGTTGACGACTTCTTTGATGTTGAGGGTTCCATTGAGGAACTTGTAAATCTTGTAGAATTAGTTGAGAAGTATGTTCCTTTTTTTCCCTTTTCTATTTTCCATTATATTGTCATTACAATCGCCTTTAGTGCTAACGTCTTCTATCTATATTAGTTACTCTTCACTGATTACAAGCAAAACTTGTAAAATTTGAACCTCAGGTGGAATTTAGAGGAAGATATCAAGTTTTGTTCTGAAGAAGTAGAGATCTTGACACGACCCGCCTCAACCCTCCTTACCCCATAAGCTCCGGGCGCACCTATGAGACTCGGGCGGCCGAGACGTGCCGTGTGGGAATCTAAAAACCTGTATTCTAAATACGTTTTTCATAAAAACATTCGCTTGGATTCGTTTTGAAAGCATAAACACATAAGATATATATATGTATACATTTGAAAATCTGAAAGCTAACTTGTACGTTCATAAAATCCAAAAACGGATGGTATCAGATATTCATATCTTTTATAATCAACACAGGGGATAAACATAAGGATAAAACATAATTCGGTAGCGATAATAAGCATGATATTTTTACACACATGATGAGTCGATGACGTAAGGGCCCAACTCGAAAGGAATCACTCCTCAGCACGACTCTTCCTGTGAACCTGGGGAAAAGGGTCTGGTGGGCTTCCCGCACGCAAGCAAAGCAAGGGATGTACCTGCTACCGGCAGATATTATCATCGCGCGGGCAGAGCTACTGAAACTGTCATACCTGGCAGACCACTCAACGCCCAGGCAGAGCCAATAAAATCTGTATACCTGGCGGACCACTCAACGCCCAGGCAGAGCCAATAAAATCTGTCATACTGGCGGACCACTCAACGCCCAGGCAGAGCCAATAAAATCTGTCATACCTGGCGGACCACTCAACGCCCAGAGAGCCAATAAAATCTTCGTACGCATGCGCAGAGCCAAAATTTGAAACGTCATACCGGCGGGATCCGCATCGGCGGGCAGAGCCAAATCTGCATCTCTGGGGATGGGTACTTTGTAGGGTGGTTTAGCACCATAACAATCTCATGCATAATCTCAAGTAACATGTAAGTCAAGAGCATATTTCAACAATCTCATGCATAATCTCAAGTAACATATATAGTCAAGAACATACCACATATGTGCTTATAAATCATGCATATATGACAAAATTTCAAAAATCACATCCAGGGGTGAAACTGAAAATTCCAAACATGTTTAAAACTGACAGTTAAAACGATTAAAAATTACTTTAACATCACTTACCATAGCATATGTCCGACACTAACCACATTCATATAAAAGCAATCATGCCAAAACGTATGAAATTCCATGCAAAATGGGGGTAGAATGCAAGTTTAAAACTACTTCAAAACTGACGAATGCACCCCTTCTCTTTCTTTTTTACCAAGAAACCATTTACCAACATCATGAACCTCAACCCGTATACAATTCAGCCAATTTACTCACAACAGCACATTTTATTCATATAGCATGAACACATATAAATTCTAATACCAAACTTCATCAAAACATTTAAAATTAAATCACAGTAACATGCAAGCATGGATTTAAGGATTTGGAAGAAGATTTGGTTTATCCACTCACCAAATCAAGCTATAATTTCAATGGGCATCAAGACAAAAATATGTTGATCAGTAATATTTTCAAGTCATTTCAGAGTCAATAACTATTTAAAACACAATTTTCTTTCAACTCATTAAATCTGCAACTGTTTCCAGAATTGAGGTTACTGACTTGTAAAATTCATACAATTCAGCCCTTAATCTAAACCTCATGAACTCTCCAGAATTAAACTAGGCACATATAGGATTCATCAGAATTTAAAATCACTCAATTGGATAAGTATAAGTGCATTATTTCAGTTCTGAAAAATGCATGCTCTACAGAAACATGAAATTCCAGAATTTCATAGCAGAATTAAAATTCATTAAAAAATCCAATACTTCGAATTTGGGGTGAAATCAATTTTCAACCAATCTCTAATAAGTCAAAACAAATATCTGAAATTTAGCTTCATTTGCAAACCTGAAACATATATAAAATTTTTGGAAGTTCGGACTGTCAGAATTTCACAGCATAACTTTTATCCAAAAACATACCTTAATAACTCTTGGTTCTTTAGATCAACATATATGCTCTAACCGTATAAAATTGTTGCATAAATCCCAATTTCAGTTAACCACAATAGCAGCCACCATATCCAACATACAACTTCCCTAATTCTTTTCTATTCGCAAACATTATGTATATGCATAAAATGCACACATGCATGCCAAGTTCAGCATTTCTAATTCTGCCCATTTTATAACCTTTCTCCATCTACTCTTCAAATCAACAACATCCACAACTCATTCTATGGACAAACAATATTCCAAATAATCAACTTACACATAACTTTTAAATGCGTGAAACAATAAACATCAAGTACCATGCAACTTGAAAAATGCAAACTTTAGAAAAGGATTCAATGCATTTTCCACTTACAAAATTTCAGATTTCATAAGACATGGTGCTAGAATCGAAACTGGACATGCAGCACTTTAAAGTCAGCTCAGCGACACATGCCAGACAGATTTAACAAGATATCACACCAAAATTGGATCAAACACTATAATAGAAATAACACTTTACATGCAAACAGGAATTGGTTTTTAAAAGGTTTTTGGCTGGTCCACTCACCATTCAGTCAACCGAACTAAAAATTGAAGGTCAAGCACTCTCTCCATTCTTCTCCTTCGTTCCTAGCATCAGAACATAATGGGTTAATTCTCTTGGATTGAAGAAGAAATTTAGAATCTCTACCTCCCAATCTACAGCATGGACTATTAGAAACTGGGTTATGGCCGATCTGCTATTTTCTTTCTTCTCCCCATCTATTTCGTTTCATTTCCTCCATTGCTCTATCGTTCAACCTCTCGGCCAACCCACTCTTCTTCTCTTCTCTTTTTCTTTTCTTTCTCTCGGGTTCTCTCTCATCTTTCTTCTTCTTCATATTTTATATTTTTAGTCTTTCTAAATTTATGCTTCTGCCCCTAGATTACAGGTAATCCCGCTAAACCCTACCACATCAGCATTTCTTTCAAATAAACCTCCAGATTTTGCCCCTTGTTACATGCAAACCCAACAGCTTTATCTTGCAATTTCATTCCCAATAAAAATTTTCAAAACTAACGAAATCCCCTTCCATAAAATAAAATCACACAGAATATGTATATGTATTAGGATTAAAAACGGGGTTTCAAGATCTTATTTTCAGCACTTCACAGCTATATTGTGAGATGGAAGACAAAGGATTTACGTGGCAAGGACGTGATCTGACAACTCACGTCGCTGAAATTGTGAGATGAATGTTTACTACTGCTATTTTATCTTAATTTTTTAATTATCAGATCAATATCAGAAGGCTATTTGGACGCACTAGAGGCCAAACCTGAGGTTTTCGCAAATGCTAGCAATACATTTTGATTTAATCACTCATTGTTTCAAAGTGTCTAAGCCTTATGCAAATGTAAGGCTTGGAAATTTTGGTCATTATCCATGGGAGGGTACCTTACATTGGACCTGAATTATTCATCATTTTTGTTCAATAAGAGAGATCTAATGAGCCTACACATTCACATTGCAGTGGTTGAATTTGCTGAAGTCTCAGTTGAAGGAGGCTGAGTGGTTGAGAAACAAGTCACTTCCGACAGTGGATGAATATATAGAAAATGCATGCGTAACATATGCCTTAGGGCCAATAGTCTTTCCTACCATGTATTTAGTTGGGCCTAAGCTTCCCGAGGAATTGGTTACACATCCTGAATTTCATAAACTATATAAGCTTGCAAGCATCTGCGGGCGTCTACTCAATGATATCCAAAGTTTAAAGGTACAAGCTTTTCTTTTCTTTTTTCTTTCTGAAACTGCTAATATGTTGTCTGATATGGTTGGTATCTATCATTAACTGTGCATGGCTGTGTTGCAGAGAGAATGCAAGGAAGAAACACTGAATGCTGTGTCGTTGCAAACGATTCACAGTAAAGGTGTTATTGCAGAAGAAGAGGCCATTGAAAATTTGAGAAGTGTTGTTAACAGCAGTAGGCGAGAGCTACTGAGATTAGTGTTGCAAGAAAAGGGAAGCATAATTCCAAGACCTATCAAAGATTTGTTTTTGAAAACTAGCAAATCATCTCATTTATTTTACATGGAAGATGATGGATTCACTTCCGATAGCATGATGAATTTTGTCAATGATCTTATTCAAGAACAACTATGTGTTAATAAATTGTAGGAATAAACAATGTAAATCCAAACGTCATGTCAAATTTATCGATCTTTAGAGGGAATAAGAGGAAGAGAAGTTTTTTTATTAGCCACATAAGGAGTGGAACCCGTTCCATGACATGTTACAGAGCAATAGGAAACTCTTTCTTTAGTCCACCCGAGGCATGCATTCAGCTTCCGGATTTGTCGTATATATGGAAATGTTTCAGTGAGTCTCGTGCCTTCCCACCCAGCCCGCTTTCTTATCGAGACTTCCCCTGTAGGGACTGTGTGTTCCTTCGTCGTCTCGCCAACGTCTAGTGCCCAACCAGGACTGTGTACTTCGTCAGTGCAACCTCATGAATTATGGCCAGGGTTCCGTGCGACTTTCCCAGGGCTGGGTGCTCCGCTCCCTCTCTTCGTCCTCCCATTAACTAAATTTAAAAATGTCAAAAACTGCTCTGTTTATAACCTTGAAACCTCTTAAACCTTAAAATATTTGTCTAGTAATGTTTTTATATCACTCTTTTGTATCTTTCCTTGAAGACATGTCCGTAATCTTTAGAAACCTTAAACTGTTGATTTCTTGAGAAATAAAGGTGGGTGTTTCGTTTATTAATTTATTTGATTTGTTTAATATTGTTTCCGTGATTGATTGGTTCACCAATACGAATATTGGGGTGCGTTTGGTTTATTGTTTTTATCCAAATTCTCAATCCTATTTTTCAAACTTTGTTTGACACGTTATTCTCAAAATATTAGTCTATATTTTTTAATTACTTGAGACCCTATAAATTTATTAATTTCATTAAATACCTCCCTGAAAAAAGTTTAAAAACTAACAAAAATACCCCCACGCACAATACCTGCCAGATTCTGGCAACCACCGCCGGTGGTAGTCGAAATCTATCACAATAGTCACATAGCCACCGGAAATAGCCTGTAATGGCCAGATCTGGCCTTTTCCGGCCAGATCCACAGATCTGCCGTCAACGACGGCCATATCTAGCCTTTTTCTGTCGTCGTAGCCAAAACAGTTTGTAGATCTGGCCTTTTCCGGCCAAATCCGTGGTGGATCTGGCCGGAAAAGGTCATAACGACGCGTTACGGCAAGATTCGACCGGTCTGTGTCGTAATGAAATTTCTCGACCAGATACCGATGGTGGTGGCCGGAATCTGGCATTGCAGGTAGTGGGGGTGTTTTTGTCATTTTATATATTAGATTCTTTAATTAAATTAGTAAATCTAAGGGTTTTTTTTACTCCCCTATCTAACACTAATACTATCCCCAAAATCTTATTCAAAATAATAAATCAAACGGAACCGAATATTTTTTTTATTCTCAGCATGGCTGGCAACAGCCATTGTCTTTATGTGAGTTTTGAATTCATTGATGCTCTTCCGCAGCATTCAGATACCTGTTAACGTCTCTACATAGATAATCTGATAATCATACCTTAATCAGTTGTAGCCACAAAGAGACAGAAGGCTTACGTAAAAAGAAATACTGTAACAAGACAATCTTTTCCCCCTAAATTAAATTCATCGTAATTAATTTGATAATACAATATATATTTTATTGGTCGATCTCATGGAAGATGAACATAATCTGATTCTGACATCAAGAAATTTCTTTTAATACAGAGTGATATTAATAAAGATTCTATTCAATCATAATTTGATACGTAGGAAAGACTTTATATATAGAATCTTTCTTTATATTCTATATATACTTTTGAAAGCGTAATGTTATTCTTTAATATATGATCAGATGCTACCTCGTTAATGTTACTACCTCGTTAATGTTAATAACGTTGATCACGTGTAAAACGTAGACAGATTGAAGCATGCCAGGTTTTATCTAACCAACCAAAAGATACCTCTAACGTTATGTCTGATTTAATTCTATTGTCTGTGTGTGGTGTGGGCATGAATGATGGCATTGGTGTTTTTGTGCTTCACCTTGGAGCCTATTTATCAACCTTTTGAGTCCAACTGTTCACACTCACTCATTCTCTTTCTCTCTCTGCAAGTACATGTCTCTTTCTCTGGCTATGTCTTTAGTTTAAAATCTTTTGAACATCAACTCATAATAATAAGCTTCACTTTTACTTACATGCTTAGCAGTAAACTGACCCCACATGGCTTTCCATCACTCTCACAGTCTTACTATCCCGTCTTCTTCTCTGTCAGGTTTCATATCTCTCTCTCTCTTTCTCTCTCACTCTCTTTACCCATTTCTTTTTCTGGGTTTTTTGTTTCTCTTTAGTTTTTTCTTTTTTGACCATGCATTAGGTATCCACCAGTGCATTCGAACTTTTTTTAAGGCAGTAGATTATAGTATCTTAAAAATGTATGTTTATGATTATGATAATTTACACTTACTGAAAAGATTCTCATTACCCAACAACAGATGCTGGCTGCAGGAAGAGGAAGAGATACTTTTAGATCCTGCAACTTGTGCCATGGCATTCCCTGTTACTGTTTAATGGTTATGATGTCTCTTCGGTATTTTGTTTTCAGAAAGATTGATTTTATGATTATTTTAGCATACTCGTATATAAATGATTTTACTTCATGCTCATGTGGTACAGATCCATTAACTAAATTCGCTGAAGAAGACCAGTCCTTCAATTCACTTGGAGGATATTCGAAGGACACTAGTGCTGTCCTGGAGTTATATAAAGCTTCACAGATAACCATAGATCCTGATGAATTCCTTCTGGAGAAACAAAATTTATGGACTCTGTCGTTTCCTAGAACAGGAGTTATCTAGTGGATCATTTTATTCAGATAGACATGGTAAACAGGTTAGCAAACAGGTAAAGTTTCCAGATCAGTCCCTTTGACAACGATGAAGCATTTTTTGTTAGTCCACGTGTCATTCCTATAAATGGTCATTTTGGTTGTTTTCAGGTGAATATGCGCTTAAGTTTCCCTACCATTCACATTGGAACGTTTAGCACACAGGAGAAAATAGAGCACTACTCTGTTGATGATCAAGGATTTAAAAACTTCATATCGGTACACATCCATTGGTTTAGTTTTTCCCCAATCAAGGAGAAATGCTAATTGATTATGTATAGGTGGTATTGTTGACTTTGTTTCTTCACTCCTCCTGCCAGCTCTTTGGCTATTGCCAATGAATACTTCCAACATCTAGCGGTAGATGATTTCAATATTTGCCAATCAATATACCGTGAAGAACTCAAACAGCTTGAGAGTGTGTGTAGATCTATGTGAGCAGAAGCATATTTTAATTATCCTAGTCTTTATACTAAAATGAATTGCATGTACACATGATAGTCTTGTTGCCACTTGACCTTGATCTGATGATAGACATCCATATTTTCGCTCTTGCTGTAACATCCCTTTTGTAATTGTGATATTATTTCCTCATATTTAGCAGGTGGGTTGCAGAAACAGATTGGATAGGCTAATTTGCAAGGCTGACGACGGTCTATGCTGAATTCATTGGGGCTGCGACCCTGTTATTCCTGAATTATCTGATGCCCGCATATCATGGGCCAAAGGTATTGTTCTTACAACTGTCATTGACGACTTCTTTGATGTTGGAGGTTCTCTTGAGGAATTGGTAACCTTGTACAATTGGTTGAGAAGTATGTTCCTTTTCCTTTCCCTTTTTATTATTTCGTTCTCATTGAAATCGCCTTAGTGCTGACAGCTACTGTCTATTTTGGTTAGTCTTCAGTGATTAAAAGCAAAACTTAAAACTTAAACCCCAGGTGGAATGTAGAGGAGGCATCAATTGTTGTTCTGAAGAAGTGGAGATCATATTTTCAGCAATTCACAGATCTATTTGTGACACGGGGGACAAAGCATTTATGTCACAAGGACGTGACGTGACAACTCATGTCGCTGAAGTGTGAGATGAAATCTTTTCTTGAGTAACGTTTGGCCACAACCAATCCAACAAACTTCTCTTAACAACCTCAAATGTGGTAACTGAGTTATACCTCTTACGTCACCTCCACCACATCAGGCACAAATAATTTTGATTACCTAAGAAACGGTCGTTTCTCACGGAAAAAATGATTATTCCTTCTTTATGGAAGGTCATACCTTATGAAGGTATCCATATCCATTGCATAAGGTATGACCATTAAGAATGACCATTCATTCCGTGAACGGTTATTCCTTCATAAGAAACGACCTCGTGTCTAGTCAAAGTTGTCTGGGTGTGGTGGGAGTCAATTCTGTTGTTACATTAAGGTTGGAAAGAAGGTTGTAAACGCAACATTTTTTCTTTCATCTTTGTTTATTTATTGGATCAAATATCAGAAGGATTTTTGGCAGCACTACAGGCTATTCCTTGGGTTTAACAAATGCTAGCACTTACATTTGGATATTCAATGTGTCTTAAGTCTTGTGCAAATGCGAGTTGGAAAGTGCAGCCTCTATATCCTTTGGACGAGACAATATATTATTAACTTCGTAGGAATCTTTGGGGAGGGTACCTCCCTTGGCCCTAATTATTCATCTTTTTATTCAACAGGAGATCTAATCAGCCATTTTTACATTGCAGTGGTTGAATTTGCTGAAGTCTCAGTTGAAGGAGGCTGAGTGGTTGAGAAACAAGTCACTTCCGACAGTGGATAATTATAGAAAATGCATGCGTAACATATGCTTAGGGCCAATAGTCTTTCCTACCATGTATTTAGTTGGGCCTAAGCTTCCCGAGGAATTGGTTACACATCCTGAATTTCATAAACTATATAAGCTTGCAAGCATCTGCGGCGTCTACTAAATGATATCCAAAGTTTAAGTACAAGCTTTTCTTTTCTTTTTTCTTTCTGAACCTGCTAATATGTTGTCTGATATGGTTGGTATCTATCATTAACTGTGCATGGCTGTGTTGCAGAGAGAATGCAAGGAAGAACACACTGAATGCTGTGTCGTTGCAAACGATTCACAGAAAAGGTGTTATTGCAGAAGAAGAGCCCGAGTGAAATTAACCAATCTCACAAATCGGAGAAAAGTTCTCTATTTATAGTGGGTTGAACCAAGATAATGATTACCAAATCTGTAAGTGGGGTAGATACCATGCGAATCCATCTCTGTGTCCCATTGGTCACTTGTTCGAGTAATTTTCTCGACTTTTGCAGGGATCGAACACGTGGATCTTTTCCCACCTCTTGCCAACTTGACATACACCTACTACACTGGCAGAAGCATGCCGCTCACGCCATCACGCGACGTGACCGCATCTAAGCGATCGTAGAATCTTTATAAGCTCTAACCACCTATGCTGACAAGGTTCTGCGTCAGCCCTACTTTCCCAACCATAAGTCCATAACAATGTGTCTTCTCCATATTTTTCAAAGCTGTTATGGTCTTTTCCAACTCTGACCATCTCCATAGTTTTAAGAAGGCAGGATATTTGGTGCCACTCATTTGATTTGTTTAAGATTTTCCACGATTGTCTCTTTCTTACCAATATGAATATTATATTTTTATATTCTCAAATGATTCCCTTTTACAGGCATTCATTGGTGCTCTTCAGCATTCAACTCCAAATGGGCTGTTAACCTTGCATATAAATATAATCGTTCTTTAGTTAGTTGTTGCCACAGACAGACAGAAGGCTTATAAAAAGATGATTCGCACTCACTCACAAGAGAATCTTTACCCATCAATTCAATAAAGAATTATATCAGCGCAATTTATATTCTTCACTTTCACAAATATGCTTAGCTACTAACTTACACCACATGGCTTTCCATCAGTCTCCTAATTTTACTATCTCGTCTTCTTCTCTGTCAGGTTTCATCCTATCTCGGGTTATTTGTTCGTTTTTTTTTTCTTTTTGGACTATGCATGCATGTAATGATATGCTGGTGAATTGCGTTATTGGTAACATTGAGATTATTATGAAAGGGGCATAGAATAAGAACTTAAAAGTTGTATCAAAGGATAGAATTTCTGTTCGCTTAACAGTTTGATATTTGGAACAAGGATTTATGTTGATTCTAGCATTGCGTAGGCGTCAAATTGAAACCTTAAGTTGTTGAGAAAAAAGGTGGTGTTGTAATTATTTCTCTATTTTATTTAATTATTCTTGACACTTGCTACCAATTCGTTGTAAAGCAGGTGCTATTGACCCTAGATCAAAATTCGTTACAGAAGCCAAAACCACCAGTCTGGTAAAGGATCCTGCAGCTATTCATTTTATTATTTCCTACTATTTTCTGTTTATGAAACAAATATTGAAAAATACGCTGTTGTGAATGCTTGCAGCACCTTGAGAGGACTAAAGAAAGAATTAATAAGATGTTTGATAAGGTTGATCTCTCTGTTTCTTCGTATGACACTGCTTGGGTTGCTATGGTCCCATCTCCGGATTCCCCTCAGGCCCCTTGTTTTCCGCAATGCATAAATTGGTTATTGGATAATCAACTCCATGATGGATCTTGGGGTCTTCCTCAACGTCCTTCCTTGTTAGTTAAAGACGCTCTCTCGTGTACCTTAGCATCTGTCCTTGCACTGAAGAGGTGGGGTATTGGTGAAGAAGAGATGAATAAAGGTATTTTTTTTTTCTATGGCTCCTTTATCTCCATAGTGTAAGATATATAAAGTTTCCTCCTCTTGTCACAGGCATCCAATTTATTGAGTCAAACTTTGCTTCAATTAATGATGAGAAGCAACATACACCTGTTGGATTTGATATAATATTTCCTGGAATGATTGAATGTGCCAAAGATTTGAATTTGAACCTTCCTCTGAGAACAACAGATATCGATTCCATGCTTCACAGAAGACAATCAGAGCTTAGAAGGTATATATATAGTGTACAATCTCAAGGTCTCAACTACTAAGATAGATCAAATGTTAAATTGACTACCTATGCATTACCCCTGTAATAAACATCAAATTATTTTTGTTACAAAATCAGGTTGAACATCCTGATTTTAATGAGCTTTCCTGAAAGGCCAGATTCTCAGTGATCTCACTTCAGTGTGTCTCCATTTTGTTGGTACAGAAGAAACTTGGAAGGAAGGAAAGAGTACTTGGCATATGTTTCGGAGGGATTGTGGAAATTACAGGACTGGGAAATGGTCATGAAATATCAAAGAAAGAATGGTTCGCTGTTTAATTCTCCGTCTGCCACGGCTGCTGCTCTTTCTCACATTCAGAATGCCGGTTGCCTTCATTATCTCTGCTCTGTCTTAGACAAGTTTGGAGATGCAGGTTCTTGCATCCATGTGACTATTTATCATATGCTATGTATTATGCTTCAACTCTCTAATACTAAATTATTGACTTATACATAACCCTCGCAGTCCCCACAGTTTGTCCTTTTGACTTGTCTGCTCGTCTTTTTATGGTTGAGAGTCTTGAAAGTTTGGGAATTGATCGACATTTCGAGAACGAAATCAGAAGAGTATTGGATGAAACATATCGGTAATTTGCAATTGTTTTGGTATCACCAGTTGTGCATTCGAAACTTTTTTTAAGGCAGTAGATTATAGTATCTTAAAAAATTGTATGTTTATGATTATGATAATTTACACTTACTGAAAAGATTCTCATTACCCAACAAACAGATGCTGGCTGCAGGAAGAGGAAGAGATACTTTTAGATCCTGCAACTTGTGCCATGGCATTCCGGCTGTTACGTGTTAATGGTTATGATGTCTCTTCAGGTATTTTGTTTTCAGAAAGATTGGATTTTATGATTATTTTAGCATACTCGTATATAAATGAGTTTTACTTCATGCTCATGTGGTACAGATCCATTAACTAAATTCGCTGAAGAAGACCAGTCCTTCAATTCACTTGGAGGATATTCGAAGGACACTAGTGCTGTCCTGGAGTTATATAAAGCTTCACAGATAACCATAGATCCTGATGAATTCCTTCTGGAGAAACAAAATTTATGGACTCGTCGTTTCCTAGAACAGGAGTTATCTAGTGGATCATTTTATTCAGATAGACATGGTAAACAGGTTAGCAAACAGGTAAAGTTTCCAGATCAGTCCCTTTGACAAAATCGATGAAGCAGTTTTTGTTAGTCCCAGTGTCATTCCTATCAAATGGTCATTTTTGTTGGTTTCAGGTGGAATATGCGCTTAAGTTTCCCTACCATTCACAATTGGAACGTTTAGCACACAGGAGAAATATAGAGCACTACTCTGTTGATGATATGAGGATTTTAAAAACTTCATATCGGTACACATCCATTGGTTTAGTTTTTCCCCAATCAAGGAGAAATGCTAATTGATTATGTATAGGTGGTATTGTTGACTTTGTTTCTTCATCTCTCCTGCCAGCTCTTTGACTATTGCCAATGAATACTTCCAACATCTAGCAGTAGATGATTTCAATATTTGCCAATCAATATACCGTGAAGAACTCAAACAGCTTGAGAGGTGTGTAGATCTATGTGAGCAGAAGCATATTTTAATTATCCTAGTCTTTATACTAAAATGAATTGCATGTACACATGATAGTCTTGTTGCTACTTGACCTTGATCTGATGATAGACATCCATATAGTTCGCTCTTGCTGTAACATCCCTTTTGTAATTGTGATATTATTTCCTCATATTTAGCAGGTGGGTTGCAGAGAACAGATTGGATAGGCTAAAATTTGCAAGGCTGACGACGGTCTATGCTGAATTCATTGGGGCTGCGACCCTGTTATCTCCTGAATTATCTGATGCCCGCATATCATGGGCCAAAGGTATTGTTCTTACAACTGTCATTGACGACTTCTTTGATGTTGGAGGTTCTCTTGAGGAATTGGTAAACCTTGTACAATTGGTTGAGAAGTATGTTCCTTTTCCTTTCCCTTTTTATTATTTCGTTCTCATTGAAATCGCCTTTAGTGCTGACAGCTACTGTCTATTTTGGTTAGTCTTCAGTGATTAAAAGCAAAACTTAAAACTTGAACCCCAGGTGGAATGTAGAGGAAGGCATCAATTGTTGTTCTGAAGAAGTGGAGATCATATTTTCAGCAATTCACAGATCTATTTGTGACACTGGGGACAAAGCATTTATGTCACAAGGACGTGACGTGACAACTCATGTCGCTGAAAGTGTGAGATGAAATCTTTTCTTGAGTAACATTTGGCCACGAACCAATCCAACAAACTTCTCTTAACAACCTCAAATGTGGTAACTGAGTTATACCTCTTACGTCACCTCCACCACATTCAAGGCACAAAATAATTTTGATTATACCTAAGAAATGGTCGTTTCTCACGGAAAAAATGATTATTCCTTCTTTATGGAAGGTCATACCTTATGAAGGTATCCATATCCATTGCATAAGGTATGACCATTAAGAATGACCATTTATTCCGTGAGGAACGGTTATTCCTTCATAAGAAACGATCTTTCGTTTCTAATCAAAGTGTCTTGGGTGTGGTGGGAGTCAATTCTGTTGTTACATTAAGGTTGTAAGAGAAGGTTGTAAACGCAACATTTTTCTTTCATCTTTGTTTATTTATTGGATCAAATATCAGAAGGATTTTTGGCAGCACTACAGGCTATTCCTTGGGTTTTAACAAATGCTAGCACTTACATTTGGATATTCAATGTGTCTTAAGTCTTGTGCAAATGCGAGGTTTGGAAAGTGCAGCCTCTATATCCTTTGGACGAGACAATATATTATTAACTTCGTAGGAAATCTTTGGGGAGGGTACCTCCCCTTGGACCTTAATTATTCATCATTTTATTCAACAGGAGATCTAATCAGCCATTTTTACATTGCAGTGGTTGAATTTGCTGAAGTCTCAGTTGAAGGAGGCTGAGTGGTTGAGAAACAAGTCACTTCCGACAGTGGATGAATATATAGAAAATGCATGCGTAACATATGCCTTAGGGCCAATAGTCTTTCCTACCATGTATTTAGTTGGGCCTAAGCTTCCCGAGGAATTGGTTACACATCCTGAATTTCATAAACTATATAAGCTTGCAAGCATCTGCGGGCGTCTACTCAATGATATCCAAAGTTTAAAGGTACAAGCTTTTCTTTTCTTTTTTCTTTCTGAAACTGCTAATATGTTGTCTGATATGGTTGGTATCTATCATTAACTGTGCATGGCTGTGTTGCAGAGAGAATGCAAGGAAGAAACACTGAATGCTGTGTCGTTGCAAACGATTCACAGTAAAGGTGTTATTGCGGAAGAAGAGGCCATTGAAAATTTGAGAAGTGTTATTAACAGCAGTAGGCGAGAGCTACTGAGATCAGTGTTGCAAGAAAAGGGAAGCATAATTCCAAGACCTATCAAAGATTTGTTTTTGAAAACTAGCAAATCATCTCATTTATTTTACATGGAAGATGATGGTTTCACTTCCGATAGCATGATGAATTTTGTCAATGATCTTATTCAAGAACAACTATGTGTTAATAAATTGTAGGAATAAACAATGTAAATCCAAACGTCATGTCATATTTATCGATCTTTAGTGGGAATAAGAGGAAGAGAAGTTTTTTTATTAGCCACATAAGGAGTGGAACCCGTTCCATGACATGTTACAGAGCAATAGGAAACTCTTTCTTTAGTCCACCCGAGGCATGCATTCAGCTTCCGGATTTGTCGTATATAAACTCATAATAATAAGCTTCACTTTTACTTACATCCTTAGCAGTAAACTGACCCCACATGGCTTTCCATCACTCTCACAGTCTTACTATCTCGTCTTCTTCTCTGTCAGGTTTCATCTCTCTCTCTCTCTCTCTGTCTCTGTCTCTCTCTCACTCTCTTTACCCTTTTCTTTTCTGGGTTTTTTGTTTCTCTTTAGTTTTTTCTGTTTTTGACCATGCATCCATGTACTTGAATTTGGTTATTGGTTTAGTTTAATTACTCCTTCTGGGCAAAAGGGTTTCTTTTATCTAGATTTCGTTTGCTTTTTGTATCATCGTGGTTATCATGAAAGGGCACATGATAAGAAATCAAAGTTGTATCAAAGGACAAAGGATACAGTTTTGTTTCCTAGATGATAAAAGTTTCATAATTGGATCAAGGTCTTATGTTGGTTCTAGGATTTGTCTAGGCATACATCAAATGAAAACCATGTAATAAAAGTTTCCTTCCAATACATTCATACTATGATCAGCCCTTATCAATCTCAAGCCATCCAATTCTATGAGCCATCAACACCTGTGTATTTTCCCCTTGCACCACCACAAAAGTAGGATTTCGATGTTGGTGATACCAAATTGTGCAGCATTATGTGAAAGTTTCAACTTTCAGAAAGGCTACGTTTATTTCATGCTCCGTAAGATTTGTTTAGATTAATATGACTCTTGTCTTTCTTCTCCTTAATTTTTTTAAGGAGAAGTTAAAAGCTATTTGTCTTGTTCTCTTCTCCAATATCTATTTGGAGAAGGTAGGATCTTTAGTACCCATAATTATGTGTATGATATGGACTTAAAAACTTCTATTTTTTATTGTCATCCTAGATTTGTTTAAGGTTTGCCATGATTGACTCATTCTGCCCATTGACCAATATGATTATTGAATATTTTTATATTCACAACAGCAACTGAATGGCTGTCTGCATCCCTTGTACTTATGTGAGTGTTCGAATTCATATTCATCCCCTTTCTTTTGTTTGTACTTGAAAGCATTTGATTCACTTTTTTCTGTATTCATTGGTGCTCTTAAGCATTCAAATGTTAATGGGTTTTTAACCTTAAAAAAAGGGAATAACAAGACAATCTTTCCCATTAAATTAATTTATCATTATTATTTAGATGATACGATTATGTATTAGAGATTTCAATAATATGACATGTTCTCACCCATGATATGATATATTCTGAAAGGGTAACTTTCTAACATGTTCCTCCGTTAATGGTAATGATTGTTGGTGTAATTAAGATTTATCGGGTGTAAAAGGTAAGTCTGGGTTAATTTCCTTACTTAATAGCCTTGTGCTTGTGGGGTGGGTGAGTGCATGAATGAGTGCTTTGTAGTTTGTAGTTTAGTGCTTCATCTTGCAGTGCATTTACCGCTCTTTTGATTCCAACTGCTCACCAAAACTCACTCTCTTTCTCTCTCTATAAGTACATGTCTCTTTTTCTGGCTATTATGAGTGCAAGTGATGGAAAGCGCATTTTTTGGGACAGGTACTCATAATAAAGCTTCACTTGCATTTATATATGCTTAGCTACAAACTGACCCCACATGGCTTTCCCTCACTCTCACAATCTCACCATCTCGTCCTCTTCTCTGTCAGGTTCAATCTCTGTCTCTCTCTCTTACTCTCTTTACCTTTTTTTGTTTCTGGTTATTTGTTTCTCTTTAGTTTTTTTTTTTTTTTGACCATGCATGCATTTAATGATATGCCCTTGAATTGGGTTCTTGCTTTAGTTTGATTACTCCTTCTGGGTAAAAGGGTTTCTTTAATTTAGATTTGTTTTTCCTTTTGATGTCATAGTGATGATCATGTAAGGGGCATAGGATAAGAACTTAATTTGTATCGAAGGATAAAATTCTTTTTGCTGGATGATAAAGTTTCCTGTTTAGATCAAGGACTTATGTTGATGATAAAAGTTTCGTTCCTTACATTTGTACAAAATAGATTGCACATAATGATTAGAAATGAGACAACAGAGGAGTTGATGGTCAGTTGATAACCAGGAGTGGAAAATTTCATTGTCTGCTAGTGCTTATGAAGTGCTTTGTGATTACAGAATTAAAATTAAGAGGAAAGTATCATATAGTCTGCTAAGAAGTGTTATAGCTGATATCACTATTTGTAGCAGTGAGTGGTGATATTGTTCAATTACAAAGACCTAAGAAGACAAGACAAAGGCAGCAAAGAACTTGGGTCAGCCTAGTATACAACAGAAGATATAGTTGTGGACAGAATTGAGTGGCAAATTGCACTTGAATTGTTGGCCTTAACTTGTTGAAAAATAAAGAGGTTTTGTTATTATGTCTCTGTTTCATTTAATTATTCTGGTAATTTGTTGCCGATTTGTTGTAAAGCAGGTGCTGTTGACCCTAGATCAAAATTCATTACAGATGCCAAAACCACCAGTCTGGTACATGATCCTGCTATTCTTTTTATTATTTCCTCCAATGTTCTGTTTATGAAACAAACGATGAATACGGTAATGGAAAATATATTTTTCTGAATGCTTGCAGCATCTCAACAGCGCTAAAGAAAAAATTAAGAAGTTATTTGATAAGATTGATCTCTCTGTTTCTTCATATGACACTGCTTGCGTTGCTATGGTCCCATCTCCGGATTCCCCTCAGACCCCTTGTTTTCCACAATGCGTAAATTGGTTATTGGATAATCAACTTCATGATGGATCTTGGGGTCTTCCTCAATGCCCTTCCTGGTTAGTTAAAGATGCTCTCTTGTGTACCTTAGCATGTGTCCTTGCCCTGAAGCGGTGGGGTATTGGTGAAGAACAAATGAGCAAAGGTATTTTCTCTTTTGTTTTCACATCACTCCTTTTTCTCCATAGTATAAAGCTATATAAAAATTTCTTCTCTTGTCACAGGCATCAAATTTATTGAGTCAAATTTCGCTTCAATTAATGATGAAATGCAACATACACCTATAGGCTTTGAAATAATATTCCCTGGTATGATTGAATGTGCCAAAGATTTGAATTTGAACCTTCCTCTGAAAGAAACAGAAATCGATGCCATGATTCATAGGAGACATTCAGAGCTTAGAAGGTAAATAGTGTCTGATCTCGAGTTCTCAACTACTGAAATAGAACAAATGTGACTAGCCATGCATTGACCATGTAATATACCTCAGTTTGTGTTTGTTCCAAAGCAATATAAATCGGGTTGACTTTCTTGAATTTAATGAGATTTCCCAAAATGCAAGAACCTTAGTAATCTCTGCTTCAATGTGTCTTCCTTTTATGGGTACAGAATCTACTTGGAGGGTAGGAAAGAGTACCTGGCATATGTTTCAGAAGGAATGGGGAAATTACAGGACTGGGAAATGGTTATGAATTATCAAAGAAAGAATGGTTCGCTGTTTAATTCACCATCCACAACAGCTGCTGCTCTTTCTCATATTCAGGATGCTGGTTGCCTTCATTATATCCGCACAATCTTAGAGAATTTTGGAGATGCAGGTTCTTGCATCCACATGACTCCTTATAATATGCTTTGTATTATACTCAATCTCTCTATACCAAATTATTGACTTATACTTCACTCTTTCAGTCCCAACAGTTTATCCTTTTGACATGTATGCTCGGCTTTTTATGGTTGAGAGTCTTGAAAGTTTGGGAATTGGTCAACATTTCAAGAATGAAATCAGAAGTGTATTGGATGAAACATGCCGGTAACTTTTTATTGTTTTGGTATCACTAGTTGTGCATTAGAAACTTTGTTAGGACTGTAGATCTTAAAATCTTAACAAACTGTAAGTTGAATATTATGGCAAGTTTTCACTTTTTTGAAAGAGTGACATTACCCAACAAACAGATACTGGCTGCAGGGAGAGGAAGAGGTACTTTTAGATCCTGCCACTTGTGTCATGGCATTTCGGCTGTTACGTGTCAACGGTTATGATATCTCTTCAGGTATTTTGTTTTTAGCAATATTGGAACTTGGAATTTTTTCAGGATACTCATATATAAATAAAGGTTTACTTCCTGATCATGTTGTGCAGATCCATTAACAAAATTTGCTGAAGAAGATCAGTTTTTCAATTCACTTGGAGGATGTTTGAAGGACATCAGTGCTGTCCTAGAGTTATATAAAGCTTCACAGATGATAATATATCCTGATGAATTACTTCTTGAGAAACAGAATTTATGGAGTCGTCAGTTTCTAGAACAAGAATTATCTAGAGGATCAATTCATTCAGATAGACTTGGCAAACAGGTAGTTTTTCTGTTTCAGTTATATCGATTTTCATCTATTCCCTTTGACAAAATTGATGAAGCAGTTTTTTTAGTCCCAGTGTCATACCTGGAAATTGGCCATCTTTTGTTGTTTCAGGTGGAATATGCGCTTAAGTTTCCCTACCATTCACAATTGGAACGTTTAGCACACAGGAGAAATACAGAGCTCTACTCTGTTGATGATATAATGATATTAAAAACTTCATATCGGTACATATCCATTAGTTTAATTTTTTCCCTATCAAAGAGAAATGCTAATTATGTACAGGTATCTTGCTTTGGCTTTTTTATCTTTTCTTCTAGCTCTTTGAATATTGGCAACGAATACATCCAACAACTAGCAGTTGATGACTTCAACATCTGCCAATCAATTCTCCAAGAAGAACTCAAACATCTTGAGAGGTGTGTATTTGTATGTATTCTATATAAGCAGAAGCCGACATATGAAAATGAATTGTTTTCTTAGTCTTTGAAATTCAATGGAGTAGAAGACTTGCATTCATCTGTGATAGTACTGTTACTCCTTAACCTTGATCACATATACATCCATGATATCACGGGCCTTAGAGTTAGTTTCTTGCTTGAACCTCCCTCATGTAATTGTCATATCATTTCCTCAAATTAAGCAGGTGGGTTGCAGAGAACAGACTGGACAGGCTAAAATTTGCAAGGCAGAAGCTGGCATATTGTTACTTCTCTGGGGCAGCTACCCTCTTCTCCCCTGAACTATCCAATGCCCGAATATCATGGGCCAAAAATGGTGTGCTCACAACTGTCGTTGATGACTTCTTTGATGTTGGAGGTTCTATTGAGGAACTAGTAAACCTTGTGGAATTGGTCGAGAAGTATGTTCCTTTTCCTTTCACTTTTTCTTTTTTCATTTTCGTTGAAGTCACTTTTAGTGCTGGCATCTACTATCTATTTTAGTTCACTAATTGAAAGTGAAACTTGTAAAATGGAATTTGAATCGCAGGTGGAATGTAGAGGAAGGCATCAATTGTTGTTCTGAAGAAGTGAGGATCATATATTCAGCAATTCACAGCACTATTTGTGAGATTGGAGAGAAAGCATTTACATGGCAAGGACGTGATGTGACTAGTCATGTCGTTGAAATTGTGAGATGAAACCTTTATGCTATTATTTTATCTTTTTTTTATTTATCAGATCAATATCAGAACTCTAGTGGTTCCATTTTCATTAATCACCATTATTTCAATGTGTCTATGTCTAATACAAATGTAAGGCTTGGAAGTTGCGATCTTTATCTGTGAAATGAGACTATATAATGTGAACTTCCTCTGAAATCCTGGGGGAGGCTAACCTCTTATTGACCTTACTCATTCATCATTTTGTTCAACAAACGATCTAATCAGCCATTTCTGCGTTGCAGTGGTTGAATTTGCTGAAGTCTATGTTGAAGGAGGCTGAGTGGCTGAGAAACAAGTCAGTCCCAACGGTAGATGAATATATGGAAAACGCATACATATCATTTGCCTTGGGACCAATAGTCCTCCCCGCTGTTTATTTAGTTGGGCCTAAGCTTCCCGAGGAATCCTTTAGACATCTTGAATTTCATAATCTGTATAAGCTTATGAGCACCTGTGGGCGTCTACTCAATGATATCCGAGGTTTTGAGGTACATTCTTTTAAAGATATTGGAACTATTATTCTTTTAACATCTTCTAATATGTTTGATATTATCAATCAATGATCATGGCTGCATTGCAGAGAGAATCCAAAGAAGGGAAACTGAATGCTGTGTCATTGCAAATTATTCATAGTGATGGAGTTATTACAGAAGAAGAGGCCATGCAAAAGATGAGAAGTCTTATTAACAGCAACAGGAGAGAGCTACTGAGATTAGTGTTACAAGAAAAGGGAAGCATAATTCCAAGACCTATCAAGGATTTATTTTGGAAAATGAGCAAAGTGTTGCATTTATTTTACATAAAAGATGATGGATTCACTTCTCATGACATGTTTAATTTTGTCAATGATGTTATTCAAGAACCCGTATCTGTTGATAAATTGTAAGCATACACAATTGAAGATCGAAATGTCTAGTTGAATAAGCTAATGAACTTGCTCTGAGTTTTTGTATTCAGAAGAAACCGTTTATGGATCCTCTTGCTGTCACAGTGGGCATCAAATAAAGAGAAATTGAACGCGTTCATAGTATTGAATATAAGTCATTACCTAATAAATTTATGAATAATCTCCCTTGCCAAGGGAATTGAAGCAGAAGAATTATATCTTGCCCTAAAAACAAATGAGAAGAGATCCATGAAGATGGTTGATTCTGACTGCCTCGGCTATAGCATCAGTGGCTTCATGATTCAAGTTTACTTAATTATTTTGCATGTTACTGCATCGATTATCAGAAACCAGAAATACCCAGCAGCAACGACAGGTATCAGAGCAATTTAATTCTAAATTTCAGAAGTATTTGTTTTCCCAGTGTTCTTGACATTAACAGCTCATAACCCGATTGCAGAGAAGAAACACCAAGATATCCTGGAACCCTTGCTTGACAGTTGACATACAATCAATCAAATATAAAATGTCACGTCTATGTGCGTGACATGTATTCGCTCTATGATGGATACATTTGTTGTCTGAAAAACTTTCTGTAGAGAGAGAACTTTCAAAGTTTCAGGAGAGTACACCATTCCATCAATAACTTTCTTCTAATATATAACATCCTCCCTCATGAATAATTCAAAGGAAGAGAAATTTTTTTTCTCTTATTGAAGAATGAATTTTCTATAAACAGATATATTATGAGGAAAAGGGTTCTCATAAGAAATTTGTCATTGGAAAACCCATTTAGGTAATTACAATGTCAAATCTGCTCTGTTTATAACCTTGAAACCTCTTAACCTTAAAATATTTGTCCACTTATGTTGTATTCATTTTACATAAAAGATGATAGATGCGCTTCAAATTACATGTTTAATTTTGTCAATGATGTTATTCAAGAACCATTATCTGTTGCTAAATATTAAGCATACACAATTTAAGATGGAAATGTCAAGTCAAATTAGCTGCTGAACTTGCTGTGAGTTTTATGCTTTCAGAAGAAACCACTTATGGATCCTCTTGCTATTGCAGAGGACATCAAATGAAGAGAAATTGAATGCTATCATAATTTAATATTCTCTTAATATACATACATTTGTTATTTGTTGTATAGAAGACTTTGGGTACACAGAGAACTTTCAAGGTCTCAGGAAATTACAACATTCCAACTAGAAATTTCTTTCAATATAATATGCTCCATCATTAATGGTAATGATTGTTGGTGCGACTAAGACTGGTCACGTGGAAAATGTAGAAAGGTTTGTCTGGATCAATTTCTGTACTTACTTTTATTGTGCTTGAGTGGTTTGTCCATGATGAATTAATGCTGTTTTGTTTAGTACTTCACCTTGGAGCCTATTTATCATCCTTTTCATTCCAACTTTTCACACACTCACTCAGTCTCTCTCTGTTTCTATAAGTACATGTCTCTTTCCCTCGCTATGTCCTTAATTTAGATTCTTCTGAACATCTACTCATGATAATAACCTTTACTTTCATTTATATGCTTAGCTACGAATTGACTCCACATGGCTTTTCATCACTCTCACCATCTGTCTCTTCTTCTTCTCTGTCGGGTTTCTATTCTCTCTCTTACTCTCTTTACCCTTTTCTTTTTCTGAGTTACTTGTTTTTCTTTACTTCTTTTTTTTTTAATTTTTTTTTTCATTTTTGACCATGCATGCAAGGACTTCTTTTAAAAGGGTTCTTGTTTTACTTTCATTACTCCTGGTTAAAAGGGTTTCTTTTATTTAGGTTTGGTTTGCCATTTGATATGATGACCACGTAAGGGGCTAGCGTAAGAACTTAAAAGTTTAATCAAAGGATAAAATTCTGTTTGCTGGATGATTAAAGTTTCATATTTGGATCAAGGACTTATGTTGGTTCTAGGATATGTTTAGGCATCAAATGGAAACCATTTTGATGATAAAAAGTTTCCTTCATTAAATTTGTACAGAAGATATTGTATATAATGATTAGAAATGAGGCAACAAAAGAGTTGATGATCAGTTAATAATAATGAGTGAAAGATCTCATAGTCTTGACAGTAAACTGATGAACTAAGTGCTTATTGTCATGGCGGCCTGTGATCACGAATATATGTAAAATTAAGAGGATAGTATCGTATTTCCTTTTATGAAGTTTTATAGCTTTTTTTACTGCAATTTGTCTATTGGTAACAGCGAGTGGAGACATTGTTCAATTAGAAAGACCTAAAATGACAAGAAGAAGGCCAGAAAGAACCTGAGTCTGCCTAGTACACAACAGAAGATATAGTCCTGGATAGAAATGAGCGGCAAAAACGCTCTTGAATTGTTGACCTTAAGTTGATGAGAAATGAGGAGCTGTTGTCATTATCTTTCTATTTTATTTAATTATTCTTGTCATTTGTTGCCAATTCGTTATAAAGCAGGTGCTTTTGACCCTAGATCAAAATTTGTTACAGATGCCAAAACAACCATTCTGGTACTAATCCTGCTATTCAATTTTATTATTTCCTACTATGTTCTGTTTGTGAAATCAATTTTGAATAGGTAAATTGGAAACTACGCTTTTCTGAATGCTTGCAGCAACTTCAAAGGACTAAAGAAAGAATTAAGAAGATGTTTGATAAGATTGATCTCTCTCTTTCTTCATATGACACTGCTTGGGTTGCTATGGTCCCATCTCCGGATTCCCCTCAGGCCCCTTGTTTTCCACAATGCATAAATTGGTTATTGGATAATCAACTCCATGATGGTTCTTGGGGTCTTCCTCAATGTCCTTCCTGGTTGGTTAAAGACGCTCTCTCCTGTAACTTAGCGTGTGTCCTTGCACTGAAGCGGTGGGGTATTGGTGAAGAACAGATGAACAAAGGTAATTTTTCTTTTTTTACGGTTCCTTTCTCTTCATAGTGTAAACTACATAAAATTTCCTCCTCTTGCCACAGGCATCCAATTTATTGTGTCAAATTTTGCTTCAATTAATGATGAGAAGCAACATACTCCTATTGGCTTTGATATAATATTTCCTGGAATATGATTGAATATGCCAAAGATTTGAATTTGTACCTTCCTCTGAGAACAACAGAGATTGATGCCATGCTTCATACGAGACATTCAGAGTTTAGAAGGTAAATAAAGTATGATCTCAATTTCTCAATTACCATAAGAGAAAAAATGTGACCAGCCAAACTGACCTGATTATCGGCGTGTCAAAAACTTGGTTTGGTTGGCTTGACATAGCTTTCTTATGAGTGAAAAGGCTAGTTAGAACTTACTGTTTAATTGACTAAATATGCTAGTTAGAACTTACTGTTTAATTGACTAAATATGCATTCCATTGTAATGCATAAATCAGGTTGAATTTCTTGATTTTAATGAAATTTCCTAAAACAGAAGAACCTTAGTTATCTCAGCTTCAATGTGTCTTCCTTTTGTGGGTACAGAAGCTACTTGGAGGGAAGGAAAGAGTACTTGGCATATGTTTCAGAAGGAATGGGGAAGTTGCAGGACTGGGAAATGGTCATGAAGTATCAAAGAAAGAATGGTTCATTGTTTAGTTCACCATCCACAACAGCTGCTGCTCTTTCTCACCTTCAGGATGCCGGTTGCCTTCATTATCTCTGTTCAGTCTTAGAGAAGTTTGGAGATGCAGGTCCTTATAGCCACATGACTCTTTGTAATATGCTATGTATTATACTCAATCTCTCTAATGCTAAATTATCGACTAATACTCAACCCTTTCAGTCCCCACAGTTTATCCTTTTGACTTGTATGCTCGTCTTTTTATGGTTGAGAGTCTTGAAAGTTTGGGAATTGGTCAACATTTCAAGAAGGAAATTAGAAGCGTGTTGGATGAAACATATCAGTAATTTTCAATTATTTTGGTATCACCTTGTGCATTTGAAACTTTGTTAAGACATTATAATATCTTAATAAATTTTGAATTTATGATTATGGCAAGTTTTCACTTACTGAAGAGTATCATTACCCAACAAACAGATGCTGGGTGCAAGGGGAGGAAGATATACTTTTACATCCTGTCACTTGTCCATTGGCATTCCAGCTGCTACGTGTTAATGGTTATGATGTCTCTTCAGGTATTTTGTTTTTTGAAAGATTGGATTTTATGATTATTTTAGGATACTCGTATATAAATGAGTTTTACTTCATGCTCATGTGGTACAGATCCATTAACAAAATTCTCTGAAGAAGACCAGTTCTTCAATTCACTGGGAGGATATTTGAAGGACACTAGTGCTGTCCTGGAATTATATAAAGCTTCACAGATAACCATAGATCCTGATGAACTACTTCTGGAGAAACAAAATTTATGGACTCGTCATTTTCTAGTGCAGGAATTATCAAGTGTATCAATTCATTCAGAAGGATTTGGTAAAAATGTTAGCAAACAGGTAAATTATCTTAGATCAGTCCCTTTGACAAAATTGATGAATCAGTTCTTGTTAGTCTCAATCTCATCCTGGAAAATGGCTATCTTTTTTCAGGTAGAATATGCACTTAAGTTTACCTACCATTCACAATTGGAACGTTTAACACACAGGACAAATATAGAGCACTATTCTGTTGATGATACAAGGATATTAAAAACTTCATATCGGTACACATCCATTTGTTCAGTTTTCTTCTCAATCAAGGGAAAAGCTAATTATGTACAGGTAGCATTGCTGACTTTGTTTGTTCATCTCTTCCGCCAGCCCTTTGAATATTGGCAACCAATACTTCCAACAACTAGCAGTTAATGATTTCAATATCTGCCAATCAATCTACCGTGAAGAACTCAAACAGCTTGAGAGGTGTGTAGATCTATGTATTCTATGTGAGGAGAAGTTGACATACTAAAATCAACAACACAGAGTTATAGAGTTAACTTCTTGATCTAACATCCCTTATGTAATTCTCATATCATTTCCTCAAATTTAGCAGGTGGGTTGTGGAGAACAAATTGGACCGGCTAAAATTTGTGAGGCAGAAGATGGCTTATTGTCACGACCAGCCTGCTTGCCGACTCAAGCATGTTGCACGTTGTTGACTGATTAAGTATACTTCAGGGTGAAGCAAACTTAAGGGCTAAGTTAACTTCATAGCTAAGTTAACGACTCAGCAGCTAGGTTAAGCGACTAACCACCTTCGTTTCCAAGGTTGCACCAATGCTCGCCACCAACCACCTTCGTTTCCAAGGTTGCACCAATGCTTGCCACCTAGGGTTTCTTAATGTCTAAGCATGTACATTAGTCACATTACTTTGAGGAGCTTGAGCCTATAAATAGGCAACTCTACCATGTAAAGTTTCATAACTTGAATTCCATCAATACAGAGTTTATATTTTCTCTACACTTCTATCTCATTTGTATACTTTTAGCCTGTAAGTTTGTGTGAGCGTTAGGCTACTTAACTCATTTCCGAAGAGGTAAGGCCATACGAACTTAGCAAAGAAGTTAAGTGCGTGACAAGTGGTATCAGAGCCTCGGTTAGCATAACCTCGGTTTTCAATCAATGGCAAAAGACACCGTCGCTTCAACAAAGGGAACCAAGACGATGGAGATGGAGACTTTCCAAGAACGTGGTCGTCTGGAGAAAGTCGACCCCAACCCCAAACCCTCAAGGCAGAGATGTAAGTCCAAAGATTTTCTTTCCAGTTTTGACTCACGCCTATCTCGTGTAAAAGAAAGGGTGAGCACGCAGTCGGAGGATTTAGATCATCAAGTGGATGATCTAGAGACGGAGGTTACCGAAACCCACATTGTCGTGAAAGCCATGTTGCTTCAAATGGAAGAGTCGCTAAGGACTGAAATGGGGAGAATCCGTGAGGAGTTTGTAGGGGAGCTTGCCAAGACCCGTCATGTGTTCCAAACCGAAATCAACAGCAAAATTGTTCGCTTAAACGAGGCGCAAATTGATTTAGCGCGATGCAAGCGCACTATGGTTACAAGGACCGACAGCAACGTCATTGAAAGCCAAAGGATTGACGTCCCAAGGCCTAAAAGTTTTGGTGGCTCACGCAAGGCACAAGAGGTTGACAACTTCTTGTGGGGACTAGACAAGTACTTCGGGGCCGTAGGCGTCATGAAGGAAAGCTCGAGGATTGAAACTACAGTCCTCTATCTCACAGACACCGCAAGGTTGTGGTGGAGGAGAAGAGAAGGAGACATCGAAAAAGGTATTTGCACTATCTCTACTTTTGATGATTTTAAGAGAGAGCTTAAGCGGCAGTTTTACCCGGAGAATGCCGAGGATGATGCAAGAGCTCGCTTGCAAAGGATCAAGCAAACAGGGACGATCCCTGATTATATCAAGGACTTCACCGACTTGATACTGGAGATCCCGGAGATGTCCAACAAGGACTCGCTCTTCAATTTCATGGATGGGTTGCAATCATGGGTGAAAACAGAGTTAAGGCATCGGGGAGTGCAAGATCTTGCCACGGCCATAGCAGTTGCTAAAAGTTTGATTGATTATAGTAACCAAAAAGAATACACCGGCAAATCCAAAGATAAGAAGGGCGGCTTTGTTAAAGGAGTGGGAGACAAGGGGCAATCTAAGGAGAGCTACTGAGACACCCGCCAAGACTACTCCTCATCCAAAGGTAAAGACAAGGGCAAACGTTGGGACAAGAGCTCCAACAAACCCTGCAACAATTGCTTCATTTTCAATGGGCCTCATTGGGTGAAAGACTATCCGGAGAAGAAAGCTCTTACTTCCCTCATAGCCAAGCATCAGGACGGCAAGCAAGCCGAAAGCCGTAGTGATGGAGCACATATGGGATCAATGCAATTACTCAACGGGATTTAGTCCGCACCAAAAACCTAAGCCAAAGGGTTGCTCTATGTTGATATGGCCATCAATGGGAAGGCCACCAAAGCCATGGTAGATACGGGAGCTTCACATAACTTCATTTCAGTAAGTGAATCGCGTCGGCTAGGCATCAAGGCTTCCGGAGGTGGAGGCACCATCAAGGCAGTCAACTCAGTGGCACAACCGATACATGGAGTGGCTCGACATGTCAGAACCACAATGGGAATTTGGTCCGGCTACTTAGATTTCTCAGTTGCACCGATGGATGACTACTAAGTTGTCCTTGGCTTAGAGTTCATGGAACAAGTCAAGGCATTTCCCTTGTCGTCAACCAACACCATGTGTATCATGGACGAAGAACAAGCTTGTGTGTTGCCCACTAGTCGCTCTACCAAGCCGGAGACAGCGACACTCTCGGCTATGCAATTCAAGAAAGGCATCAAGAAAAAAGAGGAAAGCTACTTGGCCATCCTTAAGCAATATGACGACGAGGAGCCAATCTCGCTAGAGGCAGTGCCCCGGGAGGTAGCATAAGTACTCGAGGAGTTTGTTGATGTCTTACCAAACGAGCTACCAAAGGAACTACCACCTAGAAGGGAGGTAGACCATTAGATTAAGCTGGAGCCAGGTGCCAAGCCACCTGCCAAGGGTCCTTATCGTGTGGCACCACCTGAGCTAGCAGAACTAAGGAGGCAATTGCGGGAACTACTAGATGCAGGGTTCATCAAGCCCTCTAAAGCTACTTATGGCGCACTAGTTTTGTTTCAAAGGAAGAAGGATGGTTCCTTGCGCATGTGCATAGATTACCGAGCACTCAAAAAGGTATTTGTAAAAAATAGCTATCCCATTCCTTTGATTGCCGATCTTTTCGCTCAGCTGGGGCATGCCCGCTACTTTACCAAATTGGATCTACGGTCAGGTTACTATCAAGTGCGCATAGCTAAAGGCGACGAGCCAAAGACCACTTGTGTTACAAGGTATGGGTCTTATGAATTTTTGGTTATGCCATTTGGTCTAACAAATGCACCAGCCACTTTTTGCACTTTGATGAATAAGATATTCCATCCCTACCTCGACTGGTTCGTGGTCGTCTATCTAGACGACATAGTGGTGTATAGCAAAACCTGGGAGGAGCACATGCAGCACCTCAGGGAAGTGTTCCAAGTCTTGCGGGACAACAAGCTGTATATCAAGAAAGAGAAATGCTCTTTCGCCAAGCCGGAGGTAATGTTCTTGGGTCACAAGATCAAGGATGGGCATCTTATGATGGAGGATTACAAAGTGCAGGCCATTCAAGAGTGGGAAACACCCACCAAAGTGCCGAAGTTACGATCCTTCCTTGGATTAGTAAACTACTACCGCCGGTTTATCAAAGGCTACTCAGCAAAGGCAGCCCCGTTGACAGACTTACTCAAGAAAAGCAAGCCGTGGGATTGGTCTAATGAATGTCAAGCCGCCTTTGAGGAGTTGAAAGTTGCAATCAACAAGGAACCTGTGTTTGCCTTGCCAGATCATACTCAGCCATATGAAATGCACACCGACGCATCCGACTTTGCCATCGGGGGAGTACTAATGTAGAATAGGCATCCGATTGCTTACGAGAGTCGAAAGCTCAATGAGACCGAACGGCTTTACACCGTGCAAGAAAAGGAGATGACAGCCATCATCCATTGCCTTAAAGTATGGCGACACTACTTGCTTGGGTCTAAGTTTGTTACTTTGACAGATAATGTCGCAACGAGCTACTTTCAGACCCAAAAGAAGTTGAGTCTGAAGCAGGCACGATGGTAGGATTTTCTTGCCGAGTTTGATTATGTCTTAGAGTACAAGCCGGGCAAGACCAATGTGGTGGTAGATGCATTAAGCCGCAAGGCCGAGTTGGCGAGCATCAGTCAAGTCACAAGCTCATTGGCTGACCGAATCAAGTAGGGACTCCAGCATGAGCCATTGGCTTGAAACATCATTGCTTTGGTAGAAGAAGGGAAAACTCGAAGGTTTTGGTTGACTGACGGCTTACTCTACACCAAAGGCAACCGCCTCTACATCCCAAGATGAGACAATCTGAGGAAAGAATTAATCAAGGAGTGCCATGACTCCTTGTGGGCAGGCCATCCAGGTATGAGACGCACCTTTGCTCTCTTAAAATCTACCTACTATTGGCCTGGGATGCAGGATAACATTGAGGGGTATGTGCGTACGTGCCTTATTTGCCAGCAAGACAAGGTAGTGCAACAACAACCAGCAGGCTTACTACAACCATTACCCGTGCCCAAGAGACCATGGGAGAGTGTCTCAATGGAATTCATCACATGTTTGCCGAAGTCTGAAGAGTTCGGGAGCATCATAGTCATTGTAGACAGGTTTAGCAAGTATGCCACCTTCATCCATGCATCCACTGATTGCACAGCGGAGGAAACAGCTAAGCTCTTCTTTCGCAATATCATCAAGTTATAGGGTATTCCAACAAGCATAGTCAGTGATCGAGATCCTCGGTTCACCGGGAGATTTTGGACAGAGTTATTCAAGATGCTAGGATCAAACCTAGACTTTTCAACCAGCTTTCATCCCCAAACTGATGGTCAAACCGAGCGTGTCAATGCACTGTTAGAGCTATATCTGCGGCACTCTGTGAGCGCTAGCCAGCGGGATTGGGAAAAGCTCCTTGACACAGCCCAATTCTCATTTAACTTACAACGGAGCGAGGCAAACAACAAAAGTCCTTTCGAGATCATCATGGGACGACAGCCGAACACACCTCTTTCCCTAGCCATACGCTATGATGGGAAGAGCCCCACAGCCTTCAGGATAGCCAAGTCATGGCACGAACAAACGGAACTTGCTCGTGCAACCCTACATAAGGCAGCGAAGAGAATGAAAAAGTGGGCTGACAAGAAAAGAAGGCACGTTGAGTTCCAAGAAGGTGATCTTGTTCTCGTAAAGCTACTACCCCAGCAGTTCAAGACATTAAGGAAGGTGCATAAAGGCCTCGTGCGCAAATATGAAGGGCCCTTTCAAGTGATACAACGCATCGGCAAAGTTTCGTATTGACTCCAACTTCCTCTGAAATTGAAGATACACCCGATCTTTCATGTAAGCTTGTTGAAGCCCTTTCATGAAGACCCAGAGGAGCCGTCCCGAGGAGTCTCTAAAAGAGCACCAACAGCCGTTGTAACATCCTTTGACAAGGAGGTTGAAGAAATAATTACTGATAGAGTCATTTGCCGACGTGGTGTGCCAAATTACCGGGAATATTTCATCAAATGGAAGGGACTTCCCAATGCTGAAGCCAGTTGGGAGACTGAAGACTCATTATGGAAATTCCAAGATTCAATCCTGTGTTATAAGGATAATGCGACGAGGGCGTCGCAGCCTTAGGTGCGGGAGAATGTCACGACCAGCCTGCTTGCCGACTCAAGCATGCTGCACGTTGCTTACTGATTAAGTATGCTTCAGAGTGAAGCAAACTTTAGGGGTAAGTTAACTTCATAGCTAAGTTAACGACTCAACAGCTACGTTAAGCGACTAACCACCTTCGTTTCCAAGGTTGCACCAATGCTCCCCACCAACCACCTTCGTTTCCAAGGTTGCACCAATGCTTGCCACCTAGGGTTTCTTAATGCCTAAGCATGTACATTAGTCACATTACTTTGAGGAGCTTGAGCCTATAAATAGGCAACTCCACCATGTAAAGTTTCATAACTTGAATTCCATCAATACAGAGTTTATATTTTCTCTACACATCTCTCTCATTTGTATACTTTTAGCCTGTGAGTTTGTGTGAGCGTTAGGCTGCTTAACTCATTTCCGAAAAGTTAAGACTGCACGAACTTAGTAAAGAAGTTAAGTGTGTGACATTATTCTTACTTCTCTGGGGTAGCTACCCTCTTCTCTCCTGAGTTATCCGAAACCCGCTTATATTGGGCCAAAAGTATTGTGCTTACAACTGTTGTTGATGATTTCTTTGATGTTGGAAGTTCTATTGAGGAGCTGGTAAACCTTGTACAATTGGTTGAGAGGTATGTTCATTTCCCATTCCCTTCCCTTTTTCATTCTCATTGAAATCACCTTTAGTCCTGACAGTTACAGTCTATTTTGGTTAGTATTCACTGATTAAAAGCAAAACTTGTAAACTTTGAACCCTAGGTGGAATGTAGGAGAAGGAATCAATTGTTGTTCTGAAGAGGTGGAGATTATTTATTCAGCAGTTTACAACACTATTGGTGAGATTGCAGAAAAAGCATTTTCGCGGCAAGGGCATGATGTGACAATTCACCTCACTGAAATTGTGAGATGAAATTTTTACTCCTGTTATTTTACCTTTGTTAATATATCAGATTTTAAAGTGGTTCGGATGCTAAGGTAGCAAGTCCTACGTCCACTGATTTGTATTAATATTAGTGTGGGTCAGGTCGTAACAGCGGACTGACTTACAAGAGAGTTATGAAAAGTAAATATGTTTACAGGAGAGAGAGAGTTTTCTCAATGTAAAAATGGTTGAATCCCCTTAATGAAGGGGTCTTCTTCATTTTATATCAAACTGAAGCGTGTAATCATCATTAAATCCATGGGTTGGTGTGATTGTCAGGATATAATCCGGCTTTATGTCCCATTGCTCTCTTCCCAAGCTGATTTCGCACGATTTATTGCAGGGGAAAAGGACACGTGTGAACTCCATATCATTTGGCAGATCTGACGTGTGCGTGTTGCTCTGACGGGAGCAGGTCACTCTTCACGTGACTTTCCCACGTCAGCCCTTATTTTCCCAGGCATAACAGAAGCCCCATAGTTTTTAAGGTTTGAGGATCGAACCTTGGAAACTAAGTCATGCCGCGATTGGAGGTTCTGGTCGCTCCGACTTGAATGGGATGAGCTCGGCACGAGACTTGGCGAACACGATCTCGCACAATTCCTTGCCTAAGCGACCTGACAATCTTCCCCTAGCGACCTGGATTTGTCGGACGCTCCTTTCTGTACCTTAGAGATTCAATGAACCTGGTTCTGCGCTGTCAGGCGCTCTGCACGCGCTACAGCGTTTGTCAGGCACATTAAATGCGTTGTGTGCTAACCCGACGCCGTTTTGACAGCATTTGTTGTGCAACGCATTTGAAACGACGACTCTTATCGCGGCATTTAATGCGACGTGGGGCGCATTTAATGCAGGGAGAGAGAGAGAGGGTTGTCGTTTCGGTTTCGTGGGGTGGTAACCGTCGATTCGCGATCCATATAAAATCTCACATTTTTCAGATGACGCCACCAAAATTTCTTTTGCTTCGAGTGACAAACCCTTGCAAACCAGAGATCTTCCTTTTCCGATCGGCGCTTATTAGGCAACTGGAACGAGTTCTGGCCTCAGTTACGCATCCCAAAAAGTAAGATTTTCCTTTTTCTCTCTTTTTTTTGCATTTGTTTGGTTGGACCATGGCGTTGGGTCTCCCGGTGTTTCACCAGAGACGTGACGCCGTCATCAGATTCGAGCCGTGGATGGCGGCTCGAGTTACTGTTAGGGTTAAGGGATTTGTCCCATGCTGCCGCACGGGACATTTGATGGCTAAAATGACCTGTCTGTCGATTTTGCAGACTCCGGCATGGAACCGTCAACTTCCAGACCCGAGGAAGGAGCCAGCTCGTCCTCGCGGGAAGTTCCCGAGGACGCAGCCCTCGCTGTCTATTCGGTTCTCACCTCAGAGGAATTTGATAGGATAAAAAGGCAGTTTGACGTCCGCACGGAGGTGTTCCTTGACCATACCAGGTCGTCACGGCGCCCTGCCGATGGCCTTGCCGCGATCTCTGAAGAGATCTTCAAGGGTGGAGGGAGGATTCCCCTCCATCCTTTCATCAGGTCGGTCCTAGATCATTTCGGGATCGCACCGATGTAGCTGACGCCAAACGCGTACGTCATCGTTGTCGCGATGTACATCGCGTGCTGCGAGAGCGGCTTGGGCGAGCCAACGGCAGTGGAGCTTGGCGTCGCCTACTACCTTAAGAAGAGTAGGGACAAGGACTCGTACTATTTGTCTCAGCGACCTACCATTGCCGTGGGGATACACAGCTATCCTAGCAATGCGGGGGCCTACGAGACAAAGTTCTTCTTCTTATGTTATGACGGCTACTGCCGCTTTCAGGATCCAAGTTGGTTTTTCTTCGCTGGGTTCATTATTCGCTCGCATGATTTATGATAACAACATGCTTTTTCCTTTTGCAGTTAACAGAACGACCAGACAAGCGCTACTTGCCGACCCAGATAGGCTCGTATCTTTTGGAGTATTGGACGAGGAGAGCCGAGACGCAAGAAAGCTTGTGACGACCGCGAACCTGCGAAAATACAGTTTTTTCAGCGACAAAGCGTCTTTAGAACCCCCAGAAGGTAAGTTATACTGGTTCCCCTCTAGTCACGGAACAATTTTGTTTACTAACGAACTTAAATGCAGGAACTATGCCCCCAAAGGAGTCCGAGCAGCCCCGTCGAGCACCATTCGTCTTCCCTCGATCGAGGAGAGAGAGGGCGGTCGAAGCTGCTCGTCCTATTCCGGCACAGCCGGTGCGAACAGAAGCGCCTCCCCAACCCCGTCCTGTGCAAGAAGCGACCAGGACAGAACAGGTCACTCAGGCACCAACCGCTCGCCCAAAGCGGAAGGCTCCGGCCCAGAGGTCGAAAAAGAGGAAGCAGATTCAGGCTGAAGAGTCAGAGACCGAATCTGAGGAGGAGCCTTCGAGGTCGCGACAGGAGTCAAGGAGGTCGGGCAAGGAGCCCGTGAGCGAGGCGGTCGCTACTGGCAAGGCGAAGGACACACCAGTGCTAGACTCATTGGGGAGTCTGCCCGAATACCTGCAGCCGATAGTCTATGGCCTACTCGAGTGCGAGCTATCGGAGTCATACGACGAATTTGCTGACACAGGCGACGACCTGATGACCACGTCGTTCCAGCATTTGAGCAAGGTAAACGAGCTGTACTTGAAACTTCATTCTGATTTATTTCTAACTCATATCTTGCTCGCAGGCGTTGCTTGCGATGAGGATGTCCATGGAGACGACACGGCTGGGGGCCGCAAAGGGGACAAGCTACCTGATGGAAGAGGTCGCGAAGCTAAAGCAGAGCTTGGAGTCCATCGAAGCGGAAAGGACACAGGCGTTCGAAGCGACGAACAGGTATCTGAACCAAAAGGACGCTGCTTTACAAACAGTGGACTTCCAAAAGATGAAGCTCGATCGACGTGCGGAGGAAGTTAAGGAACTTCAAAGGACAACTGCCAAGCTCTCTAAGGAGGTCGGAGATAAGGACCAGGAGATCCAGGCGACCTTCGCACAGGCTCAGCGAGCTGAACAGGATAGGGAGGCCTCCGAACAGGAAATGCGAGCTCTTGAGGCCGAACTCCAGGAGAGTCAGGGGATAATCGCTTCTCTGACTGAAGAAATGCAGAATCAGTCAGAGGAGCTGGAGGAAAGGGCCGCAGACTGGGCAATCAGGTCTATCTACTCCTTGCGAGCAAAGAACCCAGATTTGGACATGTCCGACCTCCCGGAGGGTTGGCAGGCGACCTTGCGGATCATGGCAGAGGAGGACGATCAGGAAGCCGCGGCCGCCCAACGACCCGACCAGGCAGGGGGTTCTGGTTCAAAGGATCCCCCCGACCAGCCTTAGTGTAATGAGTTGTCCCCATTGTAATCGGGTCTTTTGACTTTTTGTTGGTACATAAATGGAGACATTTTCTTTACAATTGCGGTTTGCTTTTTCATATATACGTACAATTTACAATTGCGATTTACATAAGCGATTACATACAAATTCTTACATGCGAACAGAACACATGCGAACTGTTTTGGGCGAACAAAGTAATACTTAATATTAAAGAAATTAACAAAAACTGAGAGCTGAGTTCGGGATTACTGATAGTATGGCCGGAGGTGCTCGGCATTCCAAGCTCGGGGTACCTTGGAGCCGTTCAATCTTTTGAGATGGTAGGTCCCCGGTCTAATCACCTTGTCGACTCGGTATGGACCTTCCCAGTTAGGTCCTGGTACCCCCGCACTTGGCTCTCTTGTCCCGAGGAGAATTTCCTTTAGTACAAGGTCTCCGACCTGGAAGTCTCTTCGCTTGACCTTTGAGTCGAAGAACCTCTTTGCACGCTGCTGGTAGGCTGCTATCCTTAGCGAAGCCTTGTTGCGGTGCTCTTCGATCAGATCCAAACTTGCTCTCATAAGTGCTTCGTTCTCAACCTCATTGTATAAGTCCCTCCGAAGAGAACCGGTTCCGACCTCTACAGGGATCATCGCTTCGCAGCTATAGGCTAGCGAAAAAGGGGTTTCTGAGGTGGAGGTTCTTGGAGTTGTCCTGTACGCCCATAAGACTTCGGGGAGATCGTCAGCCCAATTTCCTTTGGCTGCCACGAGCTTGGCCTTTAGAGTGTGCTTGATGGTCTTGTTACTACTTCAACTTGGCCATTTGCTTGCGGTCTGGCGACTGAGGCAAATTTTTTATGGATGCCGAGCTTGTCACAGAACTGCTTGAACTCCTCATTATCGAATTGCTTTCCATTATCTGAGATGAGGGTGTGAGGAATTCCGTAGTGGCACACTATGTTCTTGAAAACGAAGTCTTTTAGCTTTCTGGTCGTGATCGCGGCTAGCGGTTTGGCTTCAACCCATTTTGTGAAATAGTCTACCGCGACCACAGCATACTTGACCCCTCCCTTTCCAACTGGCATGGGGCCGATAAGGTCGATACCCTACATGAAAAACGGCCAGGGGCTAGACATAGTAATTAGCTCGTGAGATGGGGCTTGCAGAATGTTTGCGAACCGCTGGCACTTATCACATTTCCTGACAAAGTTGTGCGCATCTTCTTGGATTCGGGGCCAATAATATCCCTGACGAACAACCTTGTTCGCAAGAGATCGAGCTGCTGTGTGGTTACCGTAGATCCCTTCATGAATTTCTCTCATGATGTAGTCTTCTTCTTCACTGGTTACACATCGGAGGAGAGGGGCACTGAATCCTCTCCTGTACAGCTGATCCCCGATGAGTGTGAAACGAGCAGACCTTACTCGCAAGACCCTTGCCTCGGCCTTGTCGCTAGGCAAGGTCCCATACTTGAGGTACTGGACAATGGGAGTCATCTAGGAATCCGGCTGAACTACATTCATGGCCTGTTTGGTCGAGCTGATAGTCGGAGCATCGACGAAATGAACAGGAATGCTATCAGGAGCCTCAGAGTCCAACGATGAGGCTATCTTTGCCAAGGCGTCCACTATAGAATTGCTCTCCCTGGGGACCTGAGCGATTTCAAAGTGCTTAAA